CCTCCCCATTGTAACTTACATACGATAGTGTTAACAGAGCATAAACGTACAGCTCAATGGATTGCCACCTGTGTGTCTAGACCGATGGAACCACCAGATCAAGATCTGAAACATTTCCAGCTCCAAAGTTGGTTCCCTTGTGCCCCTCCCCAATCAATACCATCCCTGGGGGTGACCACTAGTCTGACTTCTGTCATCCTAGATTCATGTCACCTGTTCCTGACCGTCATACAAATGGTCTCTTCATGTCTTATTTTACTCGACATAATGTGATTGATGCAATTGCCCAAGGACTGCCCACCAGCCCTCAGCCAGCGCCCCACATAGCAGGCAGGCCATGGTACCTGGGAGATCTAGGGACTTCCCAGCACTGAGAGCTACCAGATATGGGGCACCATCTCTGGCCAGGCATCATGGGGAGATTCACCCATGCAGTTGTGTGTAGCAGATGCTTTTTGTTGTTGTGTTCTAATCACTGTGTAGTATTCCATTTATATGAGTATGCTACGATTTGTTTAGCCCCTCTGTTGATGGATATTTGGGTGTTCTAGTTTGAGGTGCTATGAATAAAGCATTCGTGTACATACCTACTCATGGACACATGCATTCGTTTCTCTTGGGTGGACAACTAGGAGTGGAATTCCTGGGAGACTTGAGGATTTTTAAATTAAAAATTTTTTTTTGAGATGGAGTCTTGCTCTGTCTCCCGGGCCGGAGTGCAATGGTGCAATCTCAGCTCACTGTGACCTCTACCTCCTGGGTTCAAGCCACTTTCCTGGCTCAGCCTCCTGAGCAGCTGGGACTACAGGCATGTGCCACCACACCCAGCTAATTTTTGTACTTTTAATAGAGACGGGGGTTTTGCCATGTTGGTCAGGCTAGTATCAAACTCCTGACCTCAGGGGATCTGTCTGCCTCAGCTTCCCAAAGTGCTGGTATTACAGGTGTGAGCTACCCTGCCTGGCCAGGAGACTTGGAGTTTTAAGAGGTCAAGTCCTTCCTTCTCACTGGCTAGGCTTTGGGACACAATAGAGTTAATGGAAGTTGTTCCCACCTCCCAGTGCCCTCCCCATTCCAGGTGCAGCTTCTTGGGAAAGTCAGGCGCTCTGTCATACTGTTGCCTGTGAGGAATGGAAAGACCCACCCTAGAGGACTCATGCCTTACAGAGCCACTGGAGACTGGGCATGGTGGCTTATACCTACAATCCCAACACTTTGAGAGGCCAAGGCAGGCAGATCGCTTGAGCTCAAGAGTTCAAGACCAGCCTGGGCAACATGGTGAAACCTCATATCTACAAAAAATACAAAAGTTAGCAGGGTGTGGTGGCCTATGCCTATAGTTCCAGCTACTCAGGGGTCTGAGGTGAGAGGATTGCTTAAGCCTGGGAGGGCGAGGCTGCAGAGAGCCATGTTCACACCATTGCACTCAAGCCTGGGTGACAGAGTAAGACCCTGTCTCAAAACAGACAAACAAACAAAAAAAAACCATAGTCACTTGAAGAGGCCTGAAATGCTACAGAGGGAGTTGCGGGTTCTTCTTCAAGTCAGGAGAGCATGGGGACTGAGGCAGCCGAACAGAAAGGGTGCAATTGCCCAAGATGCTGGAGGAAACTGAAGCTAATGACCTGTCCAAAGCCACATGGCTGGTATGTGGCCAGCAGGGATGTCACCTCAGGTGCATCTTCTTTTAGCCCAGAGCTCTTCTGACCATATAAAGACTGCCCTCTCTATGGGGAGGAATGCAGAGGTAGTCATGGCTCAGCATTATGGACCCACTGAGTGCTCTGCCCTGAGATCAGCCTCCAGGCCTGGCCACCAGCTATGGCTCTGGCCCAGTCCCCTCCCAGAGAGACATTTGCTGGCTTGGAATAGCCTGAGTCATGGCTGTGAGCTGGAGGAGAGAGAGACAGAGCCTGGGGGCTGGTATTACCCAAGACCCCATGCCAGGACCTGCCAATGAGCCGGCCATGGGTTAGTGGGGGCAGCGTGCAGAGAACATTCCTGGAAAACAATCTGCCCTTAGTAACCCTCACAGGCTTTCTTGGCCAGACCAACACATTTGGTCTCAGGCTGGCAAGGCCTGAGATGGCGGTGAGCATCTGGCGAGGCCTTAGTGTGTCAGGGGAATGCTGCTTTGGCCTACTGGGAACTGCCAACCAGCATCTCCACGTGAAGGTCCTGGATGCTATGTTCATGATGCAGTTCATAGTGTGAAGACTTCAGGCTGCAGGATTAGGGATTCACTGACTTTGTTCCAGAGAGTGAGAGAGCCTGGATATATAGGTATGCATGGAAGTGTGTGTGTCTGAGTAGTCATGTGTGTATGTGTGCATGCATCTACGACTTAGCCATTCATTCATTCATTCTGCAAATATTTACCCTTGCCTATTATGTGCGATGGGGGATTCAACAGTAAATGAGAGACAAGGTCTCTGTCCTCAAAGGTGTTATTAGATCCAGAGCATACATCTCCATGTGGGGCATGTGTACCTAAAGGAACATGTGGTTGCCTGTGTGTGTGTGTATCTGAAGAGAGGTCTCAATATCTGAGTTTCTGAGTATGCGTGTGTCTGAACATATGAGTCTGAGCATGTGTGTGTGAAGGGGAGAGAATTACTCATCCATTTAGAAAGGCCTCTCCCAGAGCAGTTATATTTTCATAAATAAAAATAATCAGATAATGAGTTCATTTCCGATCTCAAGTTTGATGCCAACATTCCAGTGAAACAAGACTCGCTGGAGGGCTGGCTGCTCTCTGTGTGGCTTGGATTAGCTGGGGAAAGTGCAGAGGCCAGACCTGCCACTTGCAGGCTGTAGGGAGTGGGGGAAGAGAGGGGGACCTACAACCAAGGGACTGGCTTTACGTGTCTGCGGCTGAATAGCTCCTCACCCTCACACAGGTATCAGCAGACAACCCTCAGGTATAAGTTCAGGCCTTATACCCCCAACAGCCTGTGTAACACCTGAACTTCCTCCATTCACTCCTTGGAACCAGTGATGGACAGTCTGTGCTGCTTTGTAAATGCAGATGGCCCCAGAAGAGATGGTCCACTGAGCTCCTGTGAATCAAGGAAGGCCCAGTGAATGATTCTTTCCCTGGGCAGCCAGGCCATGGCTCCGGGATGCCTGCTGAGAGAGCAGTAGCAGGTACAGGGAGAGGTTGTGACTGGAGCCCCTAGGGGAAAGGGATAGAGGCCACAGGCAGCTGACAGCCCCTGCTTCTGCTTGGATTGATGTTCAAGAGTCAAGTTAATGCCTCAGTTTGGCATTTAGGGCCTTGCACAGTGGCTTTCTTAAATGAATCTGGGATCTCCTGGTTCACCTCCCTCACCTGTGCTCCTGCCAGACACAAGCATCTTCCCCTTGACCCTCTCTGCCTTTGCTTAGGCTGTTCCTTCTTGGAATGCTCTTCCCCAGCTCGGCATGCCCAAATGTCGTCCTCTTCACTAAGTTTTCCCTGATTCTGCCAGCTAGGAATACTTTCTTACACTCAGTGGTGATTCCTTTTAACTGTGTCCTACTTTTCCTCCTGGACTCCAGGTTCCAAGAGGGTAGGATCTATGCCTCCCTCAGCTGATTTTCCTCCACAAGTCCTAGCCAGTATGAAGATAGGGCTGCTCCTGCAAGCTGGCCAGAAAGGTGAACGGAGCTGGAGTCAGTAGCAACTGGAGGCAGACCTGGAGGGAACCAGTGAGGGTTGTGCCTTGAGATAGGCCCCTGCTCTGAATTTGAGAACTAACATCAAACAGGAGTACCCTGGAGTTGGATAGGGGCTTGGAAAAGGGCACTAAGGGGAGAGGGAAGGGGAAAGGAGAGGGGCTTTTTCTAGGAGACACAACTTGGACCCCAAAGCAAGACATCTGTGATATGTCAGTGTGCTATGCTGGGGGCTGGGGTGGAGGACAGCAGGGATAATCAATTCTGAGACACAGGCTAAGTGTCTGCAAGTAAGAAAGAGGAATCCACAGAGGGTATCTGTCCATCCATCTGTCCATTCTTCCATCTGTCCATTTCACTATGCACTTACCTACTCATGCATTCAACAAGCAACATTGAGCATCTACTGTATGCCAAAGCCCTGTGGGGCTTTGCATACATTATTCCATCTACTCACAGTAGCTTCGTGAGGAATGCATCATCATCTCAGAGGAGGAGGCTGAGCCTCAGAGAAGTTGAAGGCAATGTTCAGGGTCACAGTCCAATGTCCAGGCTGCTTCTCCAAAGCTGGAGCTCTTCCCACACCAGTGAAGAACAAATGGCTTATTTCTCAGCCTCTGCTGGCTTCAGGCTGAGCTAGATCATGGCCCTTGGGCAATATGATTAAGCCTTGTTCTTGTCTGGGAAGTTTAGCGTGTGTCTCCACCCAGGGGCCCCAGCCGCAATTTGGCCATCGGCCAGCTGTCTTCAACCTCTAACATCTTGCTGACAAGGCCATTTGTAGGGGCAAGGGCTGAACCCAAGGAGCAAAGCCTCACCAGTGGAATTTCTAGCGGAGTGGGAAGCTTTATTGGGCAGGCACCCTCTTACTTTGCCAAGAGGGAGGATCATCCTGGCAAGAGGGCCCAGCATGACAGGAAGAGCTGCCATTGTTCTCAAACATTACCTGGTAGGTTGCTGTAAATGCATATTCTGGGACCCCATCCCTATAGAGTTCAGTTAAAGAATCTGGGATGGGCACAGAAGCCTGAATTTTTAACAAGCCCCAAAGGCTGTTAATGTGAGTGGTCAGAGGACCCACAAGAAAAAATTGACACGAAACAAGCCTTCCCTTAATGTGCCTGAAGATCACACCACTGTTTTGCGCACATTCATGTCACAGTTGATTGGCACGCATCTGAGTACCTACAATCTTTCAGTCTTTTATTAACCTACTGACACTGGATTTCTTGGGTTCCACAAGCAGATCCTTACACAGAACCCCCTTCAGACTCATCTCTTTAAATGTCACCTATCCACCCATCCTGACCAAACCTTCTTGGATCCCAATTTTTATTATTCAGTGCACTTCCCACTCTTCTCAGCTTGGATGATCTGCAAATTCTACCAACCACACGTCCACCCAAGTTCCTGATAAACATGTTGAAGGGACCAGGCAGGGCCAAAGCTGTGCAAGAAGGTCTCACCATGCCACCCCAGGCAGGCCTCGAGGTCCAGCCCCTGAGGAGTCACAAAGCCTTCAACCTGAACTACTCCACCCCTCCAGGCCCGCATGGCAGAAGATGCTACGAAAGGCTGGCTGGAATCCATCCACAGGGGCTGGGCCATTCTAGTGTCCTCCCTCAGCCCATCAGCAGCACACAGAGGTTACCTGGATCAGACGCTGAACTCATTCATGGCGTACTGCATTTTGGATGGACAAACGCATCTTTCCTGAGTACATGTCCAGAACTGTGATATCAAGCTCACAGAGAAGTAGAGCAGGTTCCTCTCTGCACCCTTCCTGAGACGCAGGCCTCTTTGGTGACTGTGCTGCAGTTTGGCCTCTCGAGGCCAGGAGACCTGTGTCTGTATGTACCTGTGACCCAGAAGTTAGGGTGGAGGTAGGCAAGGGGTGGAGAGTTGGGGAGAGAGGAGACACTTTTGGGAATTGGTTTTCCTTAAGGCTGGAGTTTTGAATAGGTGGTCAATGTAACTGGCCGTAAACCTTGGAATGAAACTCCTCCTTTCCCACTGGCAGAAAGGGCTGAACCGCTGCCTCGCACATCCCAGTCTGGAATTTGAGTCCCCCAGCTGGCTGTCTGCAAAGTGGGGAAAGAAGGGAAGAGGGGAATCTGACTGAAATGTTCTGGGCCTGGCTGGGAATGCTGAGCTCTGAAATTTGATCGGGGACTGAAACAACTCTAAATGTTTCCCACATTTCTTGGAAATGGAGGCTTTCTCACCAGAACCTGGGTTTTCTTCTGAATAACGCTCCCCCCTAAACCTCTCCCCTACCCTGATGGGGTGGGAGTTGGGGCAGGAAGCAGGAGTTTACCATACCATCAGCAATCCTGGGCTGTTGCTCTCTGAAATCACCATCAGCCACTAGAAGGGAAAAGTGGGGAGGCCTTGAGGAAGAGGTGCAAGAGCTACCCCGATTCCCAGGTTACTCTGCTGGGCTGCTGAGGCCCAGAGGTTTATGTTCCTCCCTCTGCCCTGGTTCTAAAGCTCCTCCCCTGAGTTCAAGCTGAGTGGAACTGCCTGCTGCCCTGTGAGGGCAGCTGTCCCCTGCTTGCCCCTCCCTTTCTCTGGCTGCCCAACCCCTTGGCCTCTGCTCCCTGACTTCTGCTCTTTCAGGGGCCATGGGAGAGAGATGCCTGACCCCTGGATTTTTACTGCCACCTCTTAGCCATTAGCCTGGCGCCTGAGGCCCTCCTCACACCCCAGGCCTTTGCTGCCCAGGCCTGCCCCTCTCAGGAGCTGGAAGAAGCCACTGCTACGGTAGAAGTTTCTGTTGGAAAAAGGAGAGAACGTGGAGGTTGCAAAAGGAGGAGAAAACAGAGGCTGCGTCCATGTTTGCGCATTTCCAAATCTGCAGCCGGAGAGTCACCCATCAGGGGCTCAGCTTTGAGCCACAGCTGTGCCTGCCCCACTGAAGGAGAAGCGGCCTCCCCCACCCCTAGTTTTCTATGAGGTGGCAATGGGGCATCTAAATAGAGGCATGAGCAGTAACAGAACCCCCTTCCTACATATTATGCCCTCCAAGAAAGTAGGGGCCTGGGTTTAGGTCCACTTTGTCATGAGCTGACTCAGGGTAGAGCCCCTGCTTCTCTCTCTCGTGGGTGTGGACTATGTGGGTGAACAGGGTAGTGCCAGGGGTTCCAGACACTTCAGAACAAGCATGGCTCATCCCCGAGAGCATCAGGTTTATCAGACTGTAGGAAGAAAACTGCCATCATTTTCATATTGAATAGCCACGTGTTTATTAGGAAGGAACATGCAAAACACGTCAATTTTTAAGAAAACATCACTTTTCCAACACATCTCACTGTTGGAGCTCCTTGAAGCTATGGCCTCAGATGCTCCCTCTCCACTCCCTTCAAATACGCCAGCCCTCTGTACCTCAGTTTCTTTGGCCAAGAAGTGGGACAGTATTAACCTCACACATGGGGAGAAGCTGGTGGGGCTGGGTGGAGGTGGGGTGGGAGGGAGTTGGCGGAAGCAGCCCTTTCCTCCTCCTGGGCCTGCAGCTTGCAAACCCCAGTTCTGTGTCCCCAGAGGAAATCCTCACTGAATGGGTCACTGGGCTTCCCCCAGCTGAGCTGGGTGTGACGATCGCCATCTCTTGGCCATGTGCCTGGTCACCCAGATCCCAGTGGCCTGGAGACTTCCTGCCTGAGCCTCTCCAGTCTGCAGGTGCAACGTCTATCAGGGAACAGCTCCAAGGCAGGGCACCCCCAAGCACCCACCCTACTCCCTCCTTTTATTTACTGGCCTTGGAGAAGCTGGGAGAAGAGGGTGTGAGGGGAGGGAACAGGTTATTTCTTCTTCCAGAGGCTCAGAGCACCAAGAAGAAGGTTGTGAGCTGCCAACCTGCCACTGAAGCTGGCCGCTACCTGGCCCACCTCAGGCTTTACAACTTGGAAATCCCACCTGAAAGGCTGGATTTCTTTTCTTTATTTTTGACGGAGTCTGACTCTTTCACTCAGGCCGGAGTGCGGTGGTGTGATCTTGGCTCACTGCAACCTCCACCTCCCAAGTTCAAGCAATTCTCCTGCCTTAGCCTCCCGAGTAGCTGGGATTACAGACACATGCCACCATACCCAGCTAATTTTTGTATCTTTAGTAGAGTTGGGATTTCATCCTGTTGGCCAGGCTGGTCTTGAACTCCTGCTCTCAGGTGATCTGCCCACCTTGGTCTCCCAAAGTGCTGGGATTACAAGCATGAGTCACCATGCCTGGCCTGGAATTCTTACTTCTCTTTAAAAGCTCAGGCCTGACCAGCTTGGCCCATATGGCACCCATGGGCCACAGTGAGCAGGGACTGTCTGGTCGACAGCAGGCTTTGCCACAGGCCCCATGGCCCCTAATGCCCCACACGAGGCCCACCTGTCCACTTCTCCCATTCCATCACCTGCCGGTGGTTGTGGGTTGGAGCGTGTGGTCTCTGATGACATCTCTGGTGAGGAGAGACGTTTGGTCAGCTGGGCATGACATCCATAGCACAGAAAATACTCTTGGAAAGTCAGAGCCTTTCTGACCCTCAGGCATGGCTGGTGAGGGCTGGGTGGTGGGGGAAGACCCCAGGGTCTCCTCTTTCCACTCTTGTGGGGATCCATCAGCCCTTCACACTGCCCTGGGCTTTGGAGAGACCTGGGGCTGTAGGCAGAGAGCCAGGAGGGAGCTACAGTTCTGTGAGGGCTGCTGGAAAGAAACAGGTCCCATCCCTTGAGCCCCTGATCCTAGTGACTGGTGTCCCCTACACTGCCCCAAGTGGGTGAGGTGTCAGCGCTGACAGCCCCCCCAGCCCTGCCACCCTCTGCAGATCTCCCAGGCAGCTTCCCTGAAGGCTGGGAGCTCCCACTTCCAAGCATCTCCAGGCTGTGGGTGGCCAGGGGGTGAGGCCAGGGGCTCTCTGTGTTTCTGCCTTTTCCAGACACTGCCAACCTTGTCATTCATTCATCACATCATTGTTGGGTGCTTACTATGTGCCAGCAAAGGTGTGAGGCACCTCTTCTGACTGTGTGACCTCAGGCAAACCACAACTTTTGCACCTCACCTCTCTTATCTGTAAAACTCGGATATGACAGTATCTGATTTAGGAGGTCGTTATGATGATTGACTCAGATGATGTATATGTCTCCCAGACTGGGCATGGAGCTGGTATACAGCAAGCGCTCAATAAATGTTACCCATGTCACAGGCACTATTATTAATAAGAGCAGCCACCCCTGTCTCCAGCCTCCATTCTCGGCTTCTGTCCATTTTCTTCCTTCCTGCTGTCCTCCAAGTCTGCACCCCAGGGTGCGGCCTCCCTGGGGTCCTAGGCCCGGGAGCGGCCCCCACCAGGTGCACAGAGGCCCCATTCTCTGGGCGCGCATCCCCTCACCCGCTCCTGGGGGACCCTGTCCGGTGACCTCGCGACCCTGTGGTTTGCGCGGGCAAAGAGGGGTCTTTTGTTCCCGGGCAGGGCCCGCCCGGGCTGCGCGACTCCCGCCCTAATCCGGCTAATTACCGTCCACACGGCTCACCGACCAGGGCGCGCGCTCGCCCACCACTTTCCCACGGCCGCGAAGAAAGCCCCTCAGTGCGCGCGGAGAACAGAGCGGCGATTCAGCCGCGCCCGGCACAGCCAGGCCGCCGCGTCAACCTTCGCTGCGTCCTCTGCCGCTCTCTTGTCCTCTGTCTCTCTGGGCCTTCCACCCACCGGCTGTTTCCCTTTTGGTCTCACTCTCGGAGTCTCCCCATCTTTCTCCCTCTCTGTGTTTTTATCTCTGTCTTTCCAGGCGTTCTGTTCTCTGTCTGTCCCATTCTCTCTGCCCGGCCTCAGTGTCTCCGTCCCTGAGCATCTCCCAAGGCTGCGGTTCAGCCTGCCCCTCACTGGGTCCACGAGGGGTCCCAGTTCAAGCTGAGCATCAGCTTCCGTTCTCTCCCTCCTGGGGACCCCAGGGTCCTGGCCCCTTCTAAGGAAACCAAGGAAGCTCTGGGTTTGGGCCATGTCTCCTGACTGGTTTTGGGGGAAGCTCCAAAACAGAGAGGGGTGCCTCAAGATGTCCAGCGCTGGCCCAGGTGTTGGGGGCGGGGGCGGGGGCGGGGAGGGCTCTTGCAGCAGCTCCTGCTGGTATCCTGGGGCCAGGCCAGATAGAAGAGCCACTCTGAAGTAATCCCAGCCTTGGGGTCAGCCACTAGCTTCAACAGGGTTGACCAAGGAGAGAGTCTGGCTTGCGCTTGACTGGTTCTGGACCAGCCACCAGAGAGTTCAAACAACCGTTTTTCTAGAATTCACTGTACTTGTCTAAAGGGTGTTGGACAGGCCACAGAATGGTTTTTTTTTTTTTGGCACAAGAAATTCATTCATTCATTTTAGGACCCAAGGAATTCATTCATTCACTCGGCAAGTATTTGCAGCATATTTACTATGTGCCAGAGATTGTTCTAGACAGCAAGGAGAAAGACATGAACAAAATGAAGATCCCTGTGTTTCATTGTAACAGGGAAGGCCCACGGGTGAAAGGTAAGAGAAGCACATTGACAGCTGGTGGGAAGGGCCAAGGAAAAATGCAAAACTGGGAGGAGGCTGGCCGGGTGCAGTGGCTCATACCCGCAATCCCAGCACTTTGGGAGGCCGAAGCAAGTGGATCACCTGAGGTCAGGAGTTTGAGACCAGCCTGGCCAACATGGTGAAACCCTGTCTCCACTAAAAATACAAAAATTAGCCAGGCACGGTGTTGCACACTTGTAATCCCAGCTTCTTGGGAGGCTGAGGTGGGAGGATGGCTTAACCTGGGAGGCAGAGGTTGCAGTGAGCCAAGACCATGCCACTGTACTCCAGCCTGAGCGACAGAGTGAGACTCTGTCTCAAAAGAGAAAGAAAGAAACAGAAGGAGGTGTTAGGAGCTAGGAGGAAGGGGGTCAGAGGTGGCCTGAGTCGGTGACACCTGAAGAGATGTCAGGGTGGCTGGGCCTGCAGGCAAGTTCCCACCAAAGCTCCGGATGGTTCTGCCCAGTGCCTTCAGGCCTCAGTCGCTGGGAGACGCCAAGACCCACTGAAGCCCGGTGGTGGCCCCCGGCTCACCGAGGGGCAATGGCCAGGAAGAGTTTGGCTGAAAGACTTGTGCTGCAGGAAAACTCCTCCTGTCCCTCATTTTGCTTGCCTTTTCTCATCACTGTGAGGAGTTTTCTGACAATGACAACCTTTGAGCAGAGACCACAAATAAACCACACAGCCCCATGGGAGGGTCCTGGCCAGGGCTTGGTGGTCTATATAGCAGGGAGACGTAGGGCCCTCTTGTCTGCAGAAAAAGCGAGGACTTTTTTACATCAAGGTAACTGAGGGAGAAGGATTAGTAAGTTTTGTGAGCTCATAAATCACAAAACAACCCAGTGGTGTCGTGGGTGTCCAAATCAGGGGGACAAGAAAGACAGAAAAGGGCAAAAACAAAAAACAAAAGTCTGGTGGGGTCATGTTGGCCTCAGACAAAGCAAGAGAACCTGGGCATAGCAGAGGAGGGACTGATGGGAACACCGTAGGACCCCCATGTGCTGGGGCTGAGATTTAGGGCACTGAGGGAGTCTGGGAGCAGCCAGGGTCTGCCATCGGGAGTGGGTCGGCTATGTGTGGTTTGTGTGTGGCATATGGGAGGATGGATCAGGCCCATGTGACCTTCCTCAACCTCTCCTGCCAACTTGCTCCCCTGCTCTCATTGCCCCAGCTGGCAAAGCCTGGGCCTGGCTGAACTACCACTGAGCCTCTGTGACCCCCTCATCCTGCCAAGCCAAGGCAGGGCTGGCCAGACAGCCTCCAACCTGGACGTTTTCCTCATGGGTTGTGCCTCTTGGGACTTTGAGAAACAGACACGTGCCACAATTTTGTGTGGGGTTAAATGCAGGAATCCCCAGCTACGTCTGGGAGCTGATCTGTTCCTCATGGCCCTGCCCCCTCACTAACTGGGGGCCATAATCACACCATTCACCCTCTCTGGCCTCACTTTCTGCACTGGGAGAATAGGAATGATGCTAATAATTATCCCTCTTTACAGGGTTACAGTAAGGCTAAATGAGACTGTGATGTAAAAGGTACTCTGTCAGCCAGGGACTTCATCTTATTTGACCAACACATGTAAAATTTTACATATTACTCACACGTATAATCGAAACAAAAGTTTATACTTATCTGTCATATTCTGTTGAATGCATTGATCTACTCTATTCTATTCTGTTTCTTTCTATTTCTTAAAACATCACAGATTGCCAGGTAGGGTGCCTCATGCCTGTAATCCCAGCACTTTGGGAGGCTGAGGTGGGCAGATCACCTAAACTCAGGAGTTCCCGACCATTCTGGGCAACATAGTGAAACCTTGTCTCTACTAAAATATGGAATATTAGCTGGGCATGGTGGTATGTGCCTGTAGTCCTAGCTACTTGAGAGGCTGAGGCAGGAGAATCTCTTGAATTCGGTAGAGGTTGTAGTTAGCCAAGATCCTGCCACTGCACTCCAGCCTGGGCGACAGAGCGAGACTCTGTCTCAAACAAACAAACAAAAACATCTCAGATCATGATGCATTGGGTCTTGAAGTATAGTTTGAAAAACACTACCATAAACCGTGGAATGGGATATAAAAGTATCTGTGGTTTCACCACCTAGAGAGCTGGAAGTGGAACCTGGAATAGTCTTGGGAGCTGTCGCCCAAAGCACATCCACCTTGACCCCATGCCACTCATCACTGGCCTTACGTAGGCCTGCTTCTCTGTGGTGGATTTGAACCTTACTGCTCCAGCCATCTCCCCTGCCTGCCCACCAAGCCTCCCTGTTAACTGCAGTCAGCTTCATGCCAAAGGCCAGACATAGCCTGCCAGACTTGGATGGGACCTCAAGAGTCACCTCATCTTTCATTTTATATAGGAGAAAACTGAGGCCCAACCAGGGAAAGTGATTTATTCAAGGCTGCCCAGTGAATGGGTGGCAGAACCAGAACTAGAGTTCATATGTCCCTGTGTCAGCCCAAGGCTTGTTTTCATTATGGCCTTGTTATCTGCCTGATTGCAAACCCAACCCCCCTCCTTCTCTATACCCCTTGGGTTTGGGAACCACTCCTGGCCTGAGTAGAACAGAAAAAAAGCAGCAGGGCCAGTCTGAAGTCTGCACATACTAACCATGTGGCCAAAGATAGGCCTGTTAGTACTTCTAAGCCTCAGTCTCCTTCTCTATAGAGTGGGAATGATGTTTTCTGCTCTTCCCAACACACAGGGTTTCTTTGCAGATTAAATAAGATTATGTGCATCAAATAGGCTTTGAAAAAAACATATAAATGTGCTTAAAGTGGAAGGGTTCTTGAGGGTCAGGGAAGGGCTGAATAGGTGAAGCATAGTGGTTTTCTTAGGTGGGTGATAATAATAATTATCTGTATGATATTGCAGATGGATACCTGACACTACGTGCTTGTCAAGACCTGTAGAAATTTATAACACAAAACAGTCCATTTTACACAAAATAAAATAATCATTTAGGAAATTGGAGGATCCTAAGATGGAATGCAACATGTGACAAAACTATGGAACTATTAAAAACATGTACAACTTCACTGAAGTGGGGGAGGGGTAGGAGTTTCTGATCTAAGTAACTTTGGTAATGAGTGGAGTCTATAAGATTAAAGGCTAAAGAAACTGTGCCTAAGCACTACTCTAGTTGATAAAGTTGTTTCTCATGGAGTGTGGTTAACAATTCCAGTATCACTATACATATGTATTGTAATTGAATGAGTAAGTCAATAGATAGTGTAACAGATGGGTTTCTCACTGTGGGAGTGAAATGTTGAGGCAAGGTGAGAAGGCTAGAGTGATCCTTATGATAATTTATTAGAGTTGTAATATTAGCATGAAATCAAGTTTAATATAGATACAGATAGTGACATATAGAAATATTTATATGTTTGTATAGATCTGCTGTGTTGTACATATAGGTTAGTAGATATGCATATATTTCTATGGTCTGTCAGCTCAGAGCACTTAGAAGCAATGACAGCCCACTAGCAATGAGCACACTTAGTGCTTAGATTTTGGTTTCTAATATCATTCTCCAATTCTAAAAAACCCCACAAAAAAACAGGGCTTCTTGTAGAAATGGCTGATTCTAGGATTGGAACAGGAAATGTACAAGATGAACCTGGAACATCTTGTAGTGCCAGAAAGTAAGGAAGATCCAAGGAAGAAGTGATGGGAGTATGTCAAAGGGACATGGGAGCAACTGGTGGAGCTACAGTGGCTAAAGCTGGAACAAATGGAGCAATAAAATAAATACAGTAGTACTGGATTATGACCCAAAGTGTAAGAGAAATATCCATGAGTTCATACTTATACAAATAAATGACTACATAGAGAAAAGGAGGAGAAGATATAAAAATGCAGAAGAATTGCAGATGATATTCACAGATGAGCATAGCTTCCTGCTCCTTAAAGGTAGGCTCCACATAGTGACTTACTTCCAAACAGCACAGGCAGAAAGGGGAAGAAAGCATAATTCATAGTGGAGAAACCTGACAAACACTACTTCTGTTGACTGTTAACACAGTTAACATTGACAGTGACAGGTCACGGTGGTGATGTGTATGTACCCTTGATAGGATGTAATCAAAGTAGCACTTCATCTCCGAGGTCTTCCTCCCTAAAACCCATAACCTAAAACATCAGACAAATCCCAGCTGAGGAACATTCTACAAAATACCTGGCCGGTACTCCTCAGAACCGTCAAGATCATCAAAAACGTGAGAAGTCTGAGAAACTATCGCAGCCAAGGGGGGCCTAAGAAGACATGATTGGCTAAATGTAATGCAGTATCCTAGAGCAGAAAAAGGATATTAGGGAAAAACAGCCACTGAGGAAATCCAAATAAAGTATGAACATACTTTAATAATAATGTTAGTCTTGTAGGGCTGATGCCAATACTGGTTTATTAATTGTGGCCAATGTATCATGCTAATATATGATGATGAAGATAGGGGAAATTGGGTGTGGAGAATATAGAAACTCTCTATACTACCTTTGCAATTTTTCTTTAAATCTAAAACTTTTCTAAAATAAAAATTTTATATCAAAAATTGAAGGCCTTACATTGGTAATTATTCGCAGCTTATGGCAAAGACAGGTGGAATTGGGAGAATGCCTGGGAAGGTTTCAAGGAAGTACAAGGGAGGACTTGGGGAACTGCTCAGGGGTGAGAGATACAGCTTGGGAGGCAGGGCCGAGGGGAAGCTCGGTGCATGCCCCAGCCTGAGGAGGTATCAGAGGGAAAGGATCCCTTGGGGCCCTTCCCTGACCTAGGAGGGCTTCTGGAGGAGGAGGTGAGTGGGTAGCGAGTGACAACCTGGCTCTTTGCTCTCTACCTTATCCTGACCCACCTGGCCGTGCCTCTGGGGCTGTTCCTGCTCCTCATCTGGAGGCAACCCATCAGAAGAGTTGAAGGATCAGCTCTGGCCACACGGTGGCTCACAACTGTGATCCCAGCACTTCAGGAGGCTGAGGCGGATGGATCACAAGTTCAAGACCAGCCTGGTCAACATGGTGAAACCCTGTCTCTACTTGAAATACAAAAATTAGCCGGGTGTGATGGCGGGCGCCTGTAATCCCAGCTATTCAGGAGGCTGAGGCAGGAGAATGGCTTGAACCCGGGAGTTGGAGGTTGTGGTGAGTCAAGACCATGCCACTGCACTCTACCCCGGCGACAGAGTGAGACTCCATTTTGAAAAAAGGAAAAGAGTGGTGAAAAAGACTGAGACTCCATTTCAAAAAAAAGAGTGGTGAAAACCTGTGTCAGAGGGTTGTTGCAAGGTAAGTTGAGATAATGGCCATGAGGGCCAACACCTGGTACCCACTGGAGACTTGAGAGTCTTACAGTCAATTTACCTTCCCTTTAGTCTACCTTTGAGCAAGATCAAACAGCCACTTCACCCTCATTCCTGGAATCTAGCCCTTCCTCTAGATCCCAGGCCCAGTGTGGTAGTTTTAAGACCTGGCCCTCAAATTCCGACACGCTTTCCATCTAGAGGTCAGCTTTATACCCCCCCTGTTGAATCTGGAATGTGTGACTGCTTCACATAACAGAATATGGCAAAAGTGATGCCATTGCCAGTTCGGAGCCGAGGCTTTCAGACACTGTCATCTTCCACCTCCCGTCTCTTGGGGTTCCCACTCTTGGAATCCAGCCACAGCGCTGAGGGGAGGCTGAGCAGCCTGTGGAGAGGCCTATGTGGAGGGGAACGGAGGCCCCAGCTCTCGGCCTTGGCTGAGCTCCCGGCCAGCAGCCAGTTCTCACTGACCGCAAGAATCATCTTACAAGTGCACCCTGGAATCCCCAGATGCGCTGCCCCAGCTACTGCCTTGCAGAGAAGAAACGAACCTTCCCACCATGCCCTGTCCAAACTGTAGACTCATGAGCAAAATTAATCACTGATGATATTTTAAGCCATTAAGTTTTGGAGTTAGGAAGCCCTAGTAACCCGAACATCCGGTAACTGGGTCTAGGACTTTGACTTCCTCCACCTCCTCCTTCTCCTCTCTGCTTCGTGCTTGAGTTGTGATGTGGGTTGTGGTGTGCTGGTCTAGTGGGGTGGGCGCTGAGCCACACTATCTGGGCTCAAATCCTGACTCTCACATATCAATTGTATGACTCTAAGCAAGCAATGTAGTCTCTCTGTGCCTCAGTTACTGTGTCTGTGAAATGGGGGTGAAGGTAGATAGTACAGAATTGCTGGGAAGATGAAAGGAGCTGATAAACATCAAGGACATGGAAAAGCACCTGCCACCTGCACAATTATTCTGCCAACCCAAGGCCTCAGCCCTCCTGGGTTCTGGGATGCTGACTTACTGGGGCTTCTGTTGTTTGAGATGACCTGGCCACTCGAGGCCCCAGACCTCCCACGTGCCACCAGCCTGCCTCCTGGGACTATCACTCTTCCTGCTGGTGCCAGGCTCTGCCCATGAGGCCAGCCTTGCTCACCCCCATGACACTCTGGATCTGCTGCTGGTCCCTCCCTGCACCGCTGTAATTCTGACTTCCTTTTGGCAGAGCTCTTAGGGAAAAAGAGAGCGGTAAGGTGGAGATAGAGGTCCCCACCATAGAGGGTGGTGCCCTGATGGGTGTGTAGAGGGGTCTTTAGTTCACAAACTTTACTGGGAAATTGAAGCCTCAGCTTTCTTAGGGAGGCTAAACCTCTCTTAGGAATTGTGTGATGACATGTGGCAGATTCTCAAGGAAGCTAGGGTTGCGTCTTAATTAGGTTTTGCCAGAGAACAATGAACGTGCTCTAAGACACTTTCCCACATACGTCTTCGTGCAGGTTGTGAGAGCTCAGAAATGCTTTGCATCCAGGCTATGCCCAGGACTCAGGTTTCACTAGCTCCAGGGGTTCTCTGCTGCTGCAGGAACACAGCGGCCTCCTCATTAGCGCTTTTCAAACCAAGGTGGTAACCGAGGGAGGAATTGAAAGTCCCCTGGGGCAGAGGGACCTTTGCAAGGGGAGCCACCGCCCCAGTCTGAGGAGCAGAGAACAGTGAAGGGGGCGGGCGTCCATGGGGGCAGTCTGAGTTCTGGAGCTTGCTGGTCCTGCAGCGCGACTTAAAGGTCACTGCACCATCTCCAGTGATTCCCTGAGCCTGTCGTGCTGCTCCCAATTCCCACAGTGGGCCTGGAAGAACAACCCACTCCTTCATGCTGGTAAAGCCATGAAGCTGCGGTTGACCTGCAGGAATAGAAGAACCGTATCCCTCCTTCCATCCCTTCACAGGAGGCTGAAAGCCAGGAGGGTTGAGAGGGTCTGGGCACGCAGGGGCTGTCAGGAGGTAGGAGGGGGCTGGCTGCAGAGAGAGAGAGGCAGGAGAGGGAGGACCGGATGACCGAGGGTTTGCACTCGGCAGGGGACCTCCTCCCCTAACGCCTTCTGCGGGTCTGCACAGCTGTGCTGAGGTGAGCAACCAGTCTGCTGGGGGAGGGAAGGAGGTACCCAGCCCCCTGGGGGAGGATGGAGTCACATGCTTCTCCAGCTGGGAGAGGAGATGTGTGAAGCAGGCTTGCTTCGGCGCCACCTGGCCACCTGACCCCTCGGTGGAGTCTCAGGAATCCCATTTCTGGAGGTATCCAGGCCACGTTGAGTGTGTGGGGAGTGTAAGGCAGACAGAGCCCTGAGTCAGGATCCATACCGGTCCACTCCCCATGGTGACAACTGCAGGCACATTCCAATAGGGACAGTATTGATCAATTCAGTAGTTCCTGACCTGACTGGCTGCGGAGTTGAATCTCCTGGAGTCTTAAAAAAAAAAAAACAACAAAAACCGATGCTGGACCCCATTGCAGGCTCGTGGAATCCAGTCGGGCCCTGACACCGCCAGGGGGACCGATGGGCAGGCAGGACTGAGGACTGCGGGATTGCACTCTGTAAAGGGCCCCCCTCCCTGGCGCTTTCTGCTGTCCCCACATCTGTGCTGAGGTGAGCAGCCAGGCTGCTGGTGGGAGGGGAGGAGGTTCCCAGCCCCCTTGGGCAGGATGGAGTTGGATGTCTCCAACTGCCGCAGGCCCCTGGCAGGACTCACAGGATGCCCCCGCATTGAATGGGAGCTTTCTATCTTCCAGGACCCTCATGGCTCCTCTGCCTCTGCTGCCTTTGGGGCATCTCTGTGGCAGGGTGGCTGGGTGGCCTCCGTGTGCTCCCAGCTGATTCCACCAGCCCTGTCAGCCTGGCACAGCCTGGGTTCCCTCCCAGGTCTGGTGTGCAGCTGGCATGAGGCCTAGAATCTGTCAGCGGCTTCATTGAGATGCTGCTGCAGCACTGCCCTAGTTCAGGGTTTCAGAGCCTTAAGGCACACATCCCGGCCTTCTCCTGCTCTCTCTGTCACCCTGGAAACAGGTCTCAGTTTCTGGGGGCCCAGGGTGGATGATGGGGTTGTCCCCTCAGGGTGGGGTAGGGCATGAGTGGAGAGCAGTGCTGGTGGGCTGAGTCGGGATAGACCCAGCAGAACCAAGGCTTGGCAGCAGGTGGGGGCTGGGAGGACCAGGGCAGGCGCACCCTGAAGAAAGGGCCCTTTCTGACTTTCACTGGCATAAAGGGAGTGTGTTTTGTTGGTTTGTCTTCCCTGGTGAGGGTGCCTTTTTCTAATTTACACAAAAGTGTCCTATGTGTCCACGGCAGCCAGGTGTGTGGACCCTGTCTCGGGTTCCCTGGGCATTTCCTGAGTCCAGAATTCCTGGCGCACCCACCTGGTCAGGGATTTATCCGTGGGAAAAACCTGGCAGCTTGTGAGGCGCGGCTCTTGAGACTCCTGAAGTGGGTGACTCTGGATCTTCCCAGCCCCACCTCCAAGACGAGGAGAGACAGGACCTCCTCCCCACAGACTCCCAGCCAGCCACTCTCCCCTCACCCAGCCCAGGAGGGGAGGACAGCAGGCTGCTGTGTGTGGCCTATCTCGTGTTCTCTGTCACAGCCACCCCATCTGTGATTTGTCCATGGAAAAGCCAGCTAAGGACTAGAAACCCTGCTTAGTTCTCCTCACCCTGCCTCTCCTAGACTCTCTCCCCAGAAATCCCTGCTTACGCAGGCCCCACAGCTTCATGAGCCCTCGGGGAAGACGCAGGTCAACAAGCCCAGGTTGGTGACCCTGCTCTGGAAGTGAGGTCACTCGGCCTGGGCTCTGGTCCTGGCTCAGCTGCTCCTGCGTCCCTCCGGTTCCCATGGCCCCCATTTGCCCATCTGGAGACAGGGTCTTGCCCTTCCTGGCCAGGACTGCAGGTGAGTGTATGGGCAGCCACTTGGCTGGCCCACTGGAGTCCCCCAACTCTGAGTAGGGTACATCAGCGGCTGCTGTGGGTGCCTGCCTGGGTCCCTTCACCAGCCCATGATGCAGCTCTATGGGAGAGTTGGTGCTGCGTGAGAGGCTCACTGCTGCCTGCTTCTCTGAAGACCTATCCTGTTCCGACAAGCTGGGAGATTATCCCCTCCCAGGAGCCCATCCCCCAACCTCATCCCATCCCCCAAAACCAGTATCTGACCCAGGGTAGCAGAGACTGGCCCCTTTGCCTTCAGGTGGGATGAGCCAATCCACGGTGCTCCCGAGCTCCTTGGGATCCAGCCCAAGCTAGAGGTCACATCTTTGCCTTGGTTTCTCCCCAGCCCCACCCCGCTTCCTTCACTGCCCTGCTCCTGAGAACACTCCCCAATAAGCCACATTCACTGGGACCCCCTCCCAGGCTCTCTTCTAGGACTCAAACCCGGACGGCAGGTATGGCCTGTGAGAACTCTAGGGCCCTGTGGCTCCAGGAGCACGTGGTCCTGCCCGGTGATGAAGCAGGTCAAGGCATGAGCTGTCCTTGGATATAGGAGCTCAGAGCAGGTGAGGGAAGGGTGGCAGCTTGGAAGCCTGAGCTGGGGACACGGATCTGTGCAGGGGAGGCAGGCTGGAGAAGCTGCTGTCCAGCCTTCCTCACCCTTCTCTCGGCCCCCCCACACTGAGCCTGGTCCCTGGGAGCCTCATTATTGGTCCTGTCTTACAGAGGTGGATGCCAAGACTAGAGAGTCACTGTCTCTAAACTGCAGGTGACCCAGTAAATTTGAGAGCCTCTGCTGGTCAACACTCCCTGTGTCCCACTCCCTAGCCCTGAGTAGTTGCATAGTATCTGCCCTGGAGGAGTTGGCAGAAGCCAGGCCCCTGGCAGGAAGGAACTGGGGATAAACTGGATCTTCCCCTGGTGTGGGGAAAGGGCCTGACCATGTTAGAATGGCTGGAGCAGCTGGTCTGACCCATCTGGCGGGCAGCTGGATTAGGAAATTGGGGAGCAAGCTTTCTGCAGAGCTTCCATCCCTTTTCCTGCCAGGAGGAAGGGGTCTTATAACTTCTTGTCCTCATGCTGAATCTACCCCTCCGTGCATGTTCATGGGTGGGTGGCTCAGTGTTGAACACAAAGCCAGGGGTACAACGGGGACACTTTAGCTTCAGGCACCATCGTTGGTGAAATTAGGGACACTCAGGATAGAGTACTTCTTGAGGATCTCGTCACATCACCAAGTCATGTACACCTGCCCTGATCTCAAAGAGGAGGGAAAGCCTTTGATACTTGGACCGTTCCCACCTCCTCCTTCCATACCCCTGCACGTACCACAGCCTGCCAGACAATTGGGCATTCCCTGGGCATTTAGGGAAGGAAACCCTGGAAGAGCCTCAGGGGAGAGGCCAGGTGTCCTAGCAGAGAGGGCTGAGGCCGAGGAGGAGGAAGTGCTACATGCTTTCCTGACCCGTTCATATTCCCATTCATGTTGGTTGGGCTTGCATTGACACTCCCGGGCCAGTGCAGCTGGTCACTTACGCGATGCAGCCATGGCTTCCTGTGCTCAGCTGGTGGTGAGGCTGCAAAGGCTGGGGTCGCCGGCACCAGCAGACACCCTGGGCCCAGCAGCTGCTCTGATAAGCTCAGGCTCGGCTGGCGGAAGGAGGGTGGTGGCCCCTGGCTCAGCAGCTTGGCCCAGAGAGCTGTGGCTATTGTGCTAATTTGCGTGTTTTCTCCACACCTTTCTTCTGCTCACTGCCAGGAAAGCCATGGCTCTCTGGACGCCAGGGAGGGGGCAGGGCATGTGTAAATGAGTGGCCTTTGAGTTTGTGAAAGCCTCCAGCCTGTGGGCACACATGAATGGCAAGGCGGGGGGAGCTATGCAAGTCTTCTGAGGGCAACTTAGCAACGGGGATCTCAGTCCCTAAAGATGTGCATGCTTCTGACTCAGCAATCTACTGGGAATTGATCCTAAGGAAATAATATTAAGTTCAATATTAAGACGTGAGTATAAAGACACTTACCCAGCTCTGTTTATAACTGATAACAGTCAATGGCAGATTGTACATTCACACAATGGAGCACTTGGCAGCCATTTACACAGTGAGGGATTCTCAATAAAGCTGCCCTGAACATTCTGGTACGTGTCTTTCCGCAGGCATACGCACACCTTGCTCTTGGCTACATACCTAAGATGAGTTCAAAGGATGATGTGTGTTCCATTTGAATTGATGCTGCAGAACAGCTGATGAGCCTCCCACCACCAGTTTATGAGAGCTCCAATTGCCTAACATCTTTGTCAACACTTGGTATTATCAGCCTGTATCACTTTGGCTCTTCCAGTGAATGTTTCATTGTGGTTTAAATCTGCATTTCTAAATACATGCCAACAGAAAAATGGATAAACAAATTGGAAATCTACATGGCAGTGAAAATGAATGAACTACTGATTCATGCAACTATGTGGATGAACCTCAAAAACAATTATGCAGAAATGTGTACACAAAAGAGCACATACTGTATGGTTCCATTAATACGAATTGCCAAAACAGGCAAAAGGAAGGTGATAGAGGTCAGAACAGTTGCCTGATCTAGGATGGGGAGGTATGGACTAGGATGAGGGAAGAGGGTAACGAACTTTCTGGAGGGTTGGAAATGTTTGATGCCTTGTTCTAGGTAGTAGTTTAAAAGTGTATATAGGCTGGGCGCAGTGGCTCATGCCTGTAATCCTAGCACTTTGGGAGGCTGAAGCAGGTGGATTGCCTGAGCTTAGGAGTTTGAGACCAACCTGACCAACATGGTGGAATCCTTTCTTTACTAAACTACAAAAAATTAGCTGGGCATGGTGGTGGGTGCCTGTAATCCCAGCTACTTGGGAGTCTGAGGCAAAAGAATTGCTTGAACCCGGGAGGCGGAGGTTGCAGTGAGCCTAGATCACGCCACTGTACTCCAGCCTGGGTAACAGAGTGAGATTTCATTGCCAAAAAAAGGTGTATATATATATATATATATATATATATGTACAATTTTATCAAACTTACCTTTGCATTTTGTCATATATATAGAAAAAATTTAAAATAGACACCAAAAGATGGAAAATAATATAGATCTATATTGATTAATCTGGAATTATGTTCAAAACAAAGCAAATGTAAAATGCAACTTGCAAAATTCTATGGGCATTTAGGCCTTCCTTCATGAGCTCTTTTATTTTTGGTGAAAGTTCAAAACGAACATAAAATGTGGCGTTTTAAGCTAACATACAATGTAGAATTTACACTGAATAATGTTCTTTGAAAAGGATTCAAAGTGCATAGGAACCATGAATAGAAATAAGAAATAACTCAATGGTGCATTGATAAGGAAATCAAATATTATAGCTCTCAGCACCACATTTTGAAGGACTGTATGTGACAAGGCGGAGGATTCTGAATATTGAAAGGAGAACAAAAAAATTTGGAATATTTAACCTGGAAAAGAGACAACTTAGAAGCTAATATATTTAGGGATTTAACGGCTTCCCGTATGAATAAGGTCTCACACTTATTCTGCATCATTAGAAAGAGAAGCAAAGGAAACAAGCTGGATCTCATCAGAGAAGGAACCTCAGTTGATGGGATACTGAATGAGTGGTCATCAAGGTTCCTTCCAACTCTGCTTCAATAAGTCGCATGATAAGGGCACATGATGTATCCAGAGTCACATGAAAAAGAGTTAAGACTAGAATCTTAATCCTACACTCAACAGTGAAATTCTATAAGCAAGTTTGTGGAGAGGAACAAAAAAAGGGGTGTGTAGACTGTTAGCAAAAATAGCAGCAATACTCTCTCCCATCCCTGTAAGAGCACCTCTTCCCAATGTGACTTTTTTGCACCTCGCATCAAGAAATGAAGTCTGTTTTTCTGCCTTTTGAACCTGAGTTTGGCCCTGTGACTTGCTTGGGCCAATGGGCCATTAGCAAATGTGAAGAAAGCAAAGGCTGGAAAAGAGCTTGTACACTGGACATGCCCTCCTTTTCTGCTCTTATAATTGGCACCATGTAAATAAGCCCAGGCTAGCCTGCTGGAGACATGTCCCAGTAGTCACTCTCACTACCCCAGCAGATAACCAAATAGCAGTTCCAAACCCCAGATGCATGAGATCATCCTAACCAAACAGCCCCCAGCTGACCCACCAGCTGACTGTAGCTACCTGAGTGAGCCCAGGTGAGGCCAGCCAAAGAACCAGCCTGCTGAGCCCAGCTCCAATTGCCAACCCTCAGAATCAGGAGCTACTAAGTACTTAAGTCACTAAGTTTTGGGGTGAGATGCTAGGTAGTAAAAGTTAACTAACACAAAAGGCAGGCATCTTTTTGAATAAAAAGGTCATAAAAATCCCATATTTCAGAGATTCTGGAGGCAAGAAGTAGCTTAATTAGTTATGATGTATTTTTATTTTTATTTTTTATTTATCTTTTGTGAGACAGCATCTTGCTCTGTTGTCCAGGTTGGAGTGCAGTGGCACAATCACGGTTCACTGTGGCCTTGACCTCCTGGGCTCAAGTGATCCTCCCACTTCAGCCTCCCAAGTGGCTGTGACTACCAGTGTGTGCCACCAGGCCCACCTACTTTTCAATGTGTTTGTAGAGATGTGTTCTCTCTCTGTTGCCCAGGCTAGTCTTGAACTCCTGGGCTCAAGCGATCCTCCCACCTTGGCCCCACAAAGTATTGGGATTATAGATGCAAGCCACTGCCCCTAGCCATACGTGTTTTTAAAATCAGGATATTCTCAGCCTTGGATGGGGGCAGATGAGTTCCTGGAAATACAAACAACAGACATAGAATAATAGGTATAAGGACAACATCAAGGATTGCTAACACTACTGTACCAGGTGCATGTCTCAGCCCTTATCACATATGCTCTCACTGAAATATTCATAACAAGCCTAGCAGCCTGTTCTAAGACATGGACATGCCCACTGACAGTGCTGATGGGGTGGCTCACCCAGCTGGGGCTTGTGAGAGGCAGGGCCGGGAAGTGATCTTTTAGAGCAACCTTGCAGGGAGGGCATGTTTTCTTTCTTTCTGCTTTTTTTTTTTTTTTTAATAAAAAAAATTTTTTTTTTGAGATGGAGTCTTGCTCTGTTGCCCAGACTGGAGTGCAGTGGCATGATCTCAGCTCACTGCAACCTCAATCTCCCGGGTTCCAGCGATTCTCCTGCTTCAGCCTCCTGAGTAGCTGGGACTATAGGCGCGCACCGCCATGAGGGCGTGTTTTCTTAGGGCACGCTGCCCACGCCTCCCTCCCCAGGTGGGAAGTTGTGGCCTTGATTTACCTCCCACCCTGTAGTCGCCTTTCCTCCATCATCCTCACCTGTCCTCTCTCTAGGACATCTTCAAGGGCCTTTTATGATGTGCTCAGTCATTTCCAGACTTCACAGTCTGAGGATCTCTCTTTCTAAGCTCCCATCCTCCACAGGCTCCTCCTCCCACCCTACCCCATTGCCCTGTTACATAACTTCAAGGCTGAAAGGACTTTGGAGCTGCCCTTTTTGCGCAGAGACCAGGAAGCAGAAAAGTCAAGGAACTGGCCCAAGGTCACCCAGCTGGTCCTGCCTGGGCCTGGAGGACTCAGACGTGTTGGGTCCTGACACAACATTTTTCTCATCATGTGGGTGCATCAAGGAGCTGCTCCTGAGGCTGACAGGACTGAGCTCTGGACTTGGGCCCTGGGGTCCAAAGAAGTTAAAGACAATCCTTAAAGTCTCTGCGGTTGAACTGAGATGGAAACAGCAGGGGCTGCGGCTTCTCCCGCTGATCAAGGCCCAGTGTCTCCTGCTCTGCCTGGCATTGCTGCATTTTCTTCCTTTATCGTCCAAAACAATTTCAGCCTCTCCCAGTGCTGGATTTGCCCAAACTCCTGGTGAAGGTGGCTGTGAGGGTGCCACTGCATGACACGTAACTGGGTGAGGGTATTAGTGTGCATGTGTGGGCACACACATCATGGCATGTCTGTCTGTGCCAGCAAGCACCTGTCGGTCTGGGTGTGATGTGACTCAGATGTTGTGAGGCTCACGTTTCCTCCTCAACCCCTGCCCCTCATGCCCTCTCCCAGCCCTCCCCTCCCCTCACAGCAGCTGTATTCGCCCCCTCTCTCCCCAGGGAAGGAATGTTCCTGGCAGCCTCAATACCCACCCCAGGCTGAAAGCAGCACAGGTGGGACGCTGTGTCCAGCTGGCCCCAGGACAGGGCCGCCCAGGAGAAGTCTCCCCCAGCGCCCCCCATCAGTGCTGCCTGCAGCAGCTGTTGCCTTGAGGGACAGGATTGCCCAGGAGGAAGTGCCTGGAGGCCAGGCAGCCTGTCTGTGGGAGCCCATCCTGGGCTCTCCCTCAGGCCCAGTCCAGGGGAATGGGGTTGGCTGGGAACCCTTGGGGCCCAGAGCTCTATCCCCTATGCATCCCTTGGTATCCATCAACAGATACATCCTCAACACCCACAACGTGGCAGGAGCTGGGGTCTGGCCTAGGAGCTTTCCGTGTGGGCAGGCAGAAGTTCCCACACAACATTCAGGTTGTCTGGGGCTGCCAGGTGGGCGGTGGCAGGCGCCCCTCTTGGAAAAGGGTCCTGTGGTTCTGAGAAGTACAAAACCCACCGCACTAGGGGTAAAAACCAGACCCATGAACTCTTGTGACAACAGCAGGTAGGACCTGCCCAGGGTTGTGAGAAAAGCCCAGAAGTGGCCTCAGTGGTTTAGAGCGAGGCGCATTTGTGCTTTGGAGTAAGAGTGGGGAGGTAGGGTGACACCTGTGATGGGTGTTAAAGGATGGGTGGGAAGCGGAGGAGAGCATGGAGAAGTGCGATCCTGGCAGAGGCACAGCACGGGCAAAGGTGTGTGCCCCTAAAGCACATCTGGTTCCATTGTGGGACCAAGGCTCATGCCCAGCCAAGAGGCCAGTAAATGCCAGCTTACAGACATGTATCTGTGATCGAGGTGTCGTAATTATGAGGACAGGCACTTGGTGAGACCTAGGGGGCCTGGGAAGGCTTTGGAGAGGAGGGGAGGTCTGAGACAGGGGAGAGAAAGGAAGAGCATGGAAGGAGGATGTCACTCATGAACCCAGGAGGGCCCCTCACTCCTGGCCTTGATCCTGAAGGCCAGAGACCCAGGGGGTGGGGGCCAGAGCTGCTGTATCTGGGAGAGGAGGGACTCTCAGCTAGGGCTTAGACTAGGGAAATAGGGGCTCAGGGTGTCTTGGTGGACTTTGGCTTGGTGAACCTCCCTCTGGCCCCACTTCTTCAGCTCCAAGGAGGCCTGTTCTCACACAGGCCACACCTCTGGAGCCAGAGTTGAGCAGGGGACTCTGTGAGGGTCATCTCATTGTGCAGCTTAAGTTGTGCTGTGTGATCTCACACGAATCACTCACCCTCTCTGAGCCACAGTTTTCTCGCCTATAGTTCAAGGGGGGTTGGGGGTCTGTGAGATCCCAAATAGTTTCTACCTCACTTGCCAGTCCTAATTAACTGGTAAGGCTGTGTGGAGGATTGTGAAGCCAAGTCCAGGCTCAGAGGGATGGATGCTGTGATGGATTAGTGATGTCTGCTGTAGCCTCCTGAGGTGGGTGGGTGGCGCCTGTGCCTCACCTCTCCCATCTTCATAACACCCTTTGTGACATCTTGTGTTTAACAGTGGGCAGAGGACCAACCCTCCATGAGAAGTGGTTATCTCAGTACTTGTGACAAATCTGCTGTGTGTTCCTCCAGGGCCGAACACCTAGATGGAAGGCAGATATCCAAGCAGCTGACACTTGGTCTCATGTAGACAGAAACATAGCTGCAGTTTCATAAGGATGTAGAGGAAGGGTAGCTGGACGGGCGCAGTGGCTCACATCTGTAATCCCAGCACTTTGGGAGGCAGAGGTGGCAGGATCACCTTAGGTCAAGAGTTCAAGACCAGCCTGGCCAAAATGGCGAAACTCCATCTCTACTAAAAATACAAAAATTAGTCAGGTGTGGTGGTGGGCACCGGTAATCTCAGTTACTAGGGAGCCTGAAACAGGAGAATTGACTGAACCTGGGACGGGGAGGCTGCAGTGAGCTGAGATCACGCCATTGTACTCCAGCCTGGGCGACAAGAGTGAAACTCTGTCTCAAAAAAAAAAAAAAAGAAAAAGCAGAGGAAAGTAAATACCCACAAATCAGAGTTCTTGGTCCATTTATGTTTCTAGCATGTGGAGAAATTAGTACCCAGCTGTGTTTATTTATAGCTAATAAGGAAAATTTGGTGGTTGTTTTTTGCTGAAACAGAAAAAAATTGTCAAGAAACAAAGGAACAGATTAAGAGAAACTGATGAGTTTTAGAATTGGGTTTAACTAGAACCTAAAATCTGGGGAAGAACTTTAATCAGCAAATAAGAATAGGTTCGTGAAATGTGTGTATTTTGTTGTGTGTTTGTCAATGTATGTTTGTAGATGTGGCATATGTGTGTCGACTGTGTTGCTATACAAGGCACATGTTCATGTAGTGTAAATGTGACATGAATGTGTGTATTTAGCATGTGTGTGATATGCAGTAGATACGTTTACATGTGTTTGGTGTGGGTATATGCAGTATGCCTATTGTACGCAACAAACACATAGAAAAGGTAGGTGTGTGAATGTGTGCAGGGTATGTGTGCATCGTATGTGTGCACGTAACCCGTGACATGTATTTCCGGCGAGTATGTGGTGTCCTTGTTCTGTGACGCCCTGGCCTTGAGCAGGTCCCAGTGACGACGTGAAGTAACATCAGAGTCTGAAACAGCTCCGGGTGGAGCCGCAGCAAGAAAATTGAGAGAAGAGGGCTGTGACTTTCCAGGGCTTGCCCCTCCAGGAAGAAGTGAGGAGTTTTAGGGGTCTGCTTCCCACACCCTGCGAAATCCAGACACACAGAAAGCCACTGGGGTCCTGTGAAAACCTTGCTGCCAGCACAGGGTGTCTGATGAAAAAGCTCAAGGCTAAAGGCATACAGAGAGGTAGGACGGACCTGGAGGTGGGAGGGGCAGAAGGTGACGGGTGGAAAACTACATATAGGGTACAACAGACACTACTCGGGTGACAGGTGCACTAAAATCTCAGCCTTCACCACTGTGCAAGTCATCCGTGTGACCAAAACCACTTGTACCTCAAAAGCTACTGTCATTAAAAAAATTCTTTTAAAAAAAGCTTGCAGTTATCTGTTTCCAAAACAAATTGCTCATCGACCTTTCCAGACCTTTTCACCCTTCAGCAAAGTTGGAAAAAGTTCCCAGTGGGCTTTCACTGGAAAGCTGAGCAATTTCCACAATAGATTTGGAGCGCTTCCCTGGTGATAGCAGAGGCTTAAGAAAAGTCATAATTAACTGGAAGACAACTGGAGCTTCCAGAACAACTGTTCCTAGTAAAGGCTGCTTCCCCAAGCACATGCCCATAGTTCCAGCTACTCAAGAGGCTGAGGATGGAGACTCCGTCTCAAAAAAAAAAAAAAAAAGATAGATGTGGGTGTCAGCCAGGCAAGGTGGCTCTCACTTTAATCCCAGCACTTTGGGAGGCCGAGGCTAAAGGATCATCTGAGGTCAGGAGTTCAAGACCAGCCTAGCCAACATGGTGAAACCCCTGTCTTTACTAAAAATATAAAAAACACCAGGCGTGGTGGCAGGCACCTGTCATCCCCACTACTTGGGAGGCTGAGGCAGCATTAGCGCATTGAAGACCACAAAATGAGAGAGAGAGAGAGAAACAATCTCTTCTAACTGCCTGCAGGCAAGATGTCCAGAGTATTTTATTCCCCTGCAGAGGGCCCCAATCTGGGGATGGGTGGATAGAGCAGGGGTGCAGGCTGCTCTGCATGTGCCCTTGCAGAAGTCAGGGTGGCTTGGGATGTGTGTGTGTGTAGGGGCACTGTGGACCTCAGCCCTTCCTGCCACACAGGACGGTGGGGCAAGCTCAGAGGTGGCAGCCGTGAATGTGTTTGCAGAGTAGAAGGGAAAGTCCCCAGGGGCAAGGTTGTTCCTGGCACAGGGCCTGGCACCAAGTAGGTGTCCAGTAAATAGCTGCTGAATGAATGAGCAGCCCAGCAGGGACCATCCAAGAGAAACAGGCTGATTTCCACCAACCTCCGAGTGGGCCTTCCAGGGCAGGGCTGGGGGCAACATGTCTGCCGGTCCAGCTGCCCATTTCCTCTTCCCCTTTTCCGGCCCCTTTCCTCATAACCTAGGCTGATTCCCACGCCCCGGCTGGGAGGCTTCTGCTGCCATTGTTTGGCTGTTATCTGGGTCCAGATCCTTCACTGGACCAGGAAAAAGGGAAGGAGAAGGCAGAATGTGGGGGAAGGAAAGCTTCAGGAATTGACGAGGAAAAGAACCAAATGTCAAATGCATCTGAGGGGTGCAGCCTCAGGTAGGAAACCAAGGTTTAGAGAGGAACAGGGATATTCCCACGGTCACACTAAAAGGTGACAGAAGAATGATGATCATAATGACTTTGGGAGGGACACCCACATGCATGCCATAGCAATTTTCAAACTTAGCAGCAGAGCCCTTTCGTAAAGTAAAAATGTATTGTGGAAAACTGAAAACAGAATAAAGGACCTGCTGGTTGGGTTGGGGTGGGAAGTGTGGGATGAAGACACACACAGCCTGGCTGATTCATTTCCTCATATTTCCTTATGCGCCCCCCCTCCGACCCCACACTCCGCAGGCACTTTGGCTGGAGCAAAGAGAGAATACCACCCATCTAAAGCTTGATTGTAGCTTTCCCCAAAATGCATTTCTAGAAAATCTGACTTATGACTGTGTGTCCCATGAAAAAAAGGGTTCCGGCTGGGTGTGGTGGTTCACACCAGCATTTTGGAGGCAGAGGAAGGTGGATCACTTAACCTCAGGCGTTCGAGATCAGCCTGGCCAACATGATGAAACCTTGTCTCTACAAAAAAAAAAAAAAAAAAAAAATTGGCAAAGTGTGATGGCACATGCTTGTAATCCCAGCTACTCAGGAGGCTGAGGCGGGAGAATTACTGAAACCCTGGAGGCAGAGTTTGCAGTGAGCTGAGATTTTGCCACTGCACTCCAGCCTGGGCGACACAGTGAGATCCTGTCTCAAAGGAAAAAAAAAAAAAAAAGCGGGGGGAGGTTCTATGGTCGAAGAAGTTTGAGAAACACTGAATTAACCAAAGTGAGTTGGGACTCTTCAGGATTTCTTGGAGACTTGAATATTTCCATTGTGTTCTGGGAGTCTGAAGGGAGTGGCTGGCATGCAGGGTCCTGTGAACCCACCTGTTCTATCGAGGGCCATCCCTGCAAGCTGGTGCGATGCAGAATGCACTAGGGAAATGTTTTTACTGGGGAATAATCATAATAATTTTCAGGAGGCCAAAGCAGGAAGATTGCTTGAAGCCAGGAGTTCCAGGCCAGCCTGGGCAACAAAGCAATGCTTCATCTCTTCAAAACGTTTTTTAAATTAGCCAGGTGTGGTGGTGTGTGGCTGTAGTTCCAGCTACTCCAGGAGGCTGAGGCAAGAGGATCACCTGAGCCCAGGAGTTGGAGGCTGCAGTGAACCCACTGCATTCCAGCCTGGGTGACAAGACCCCATCTCAGAAAAAGAAAAAAGAAAGAAAATTGCCCTCTGTCTCTCCCTCAAGCCTAGTAGAGCTCTAGACACTAAAATGAGGGTGGGGGGCAGGCAATATACACCCTGGAATGAATGGAAGCTTCATTCTTCCTGACGCTAGAGTTACATAAGTCCTGTGGGAAGCACAGGCATTTCCAGGCCTCTCTCTTCCTGTCTCTGTTCTGCAAACACAAATGTAGCCGGGCCCAGCACGGATAAGGTGAGTCCTGGGTCCTCTGGTCAGTTATTTCTGACACATCCCCATCCTAGGGCTGAGCTGGCTCTTTGGCCCAGGCAGGAGACCCCAAGCTCGGGCTGGGCCGTGAGAGCTCCGGGAAACCTGGTTCCCACTTGGCCCGTGAGGCCACACGGCCTCTCTTTCCTCTTCTTACTAGTGGGAAGAATTTCTGGAAATGCTCTGGGCCAGTGACAATGAGGCAGGATGCCCTCCCTGCTCCCCAGACCAGCCTGGCTGTGAGACCCACCACTCCTCAGAAACTGCGGCCCACAGAGGTAACCTGGCTAACTGGCTCCTGCCCTGTCACAAAGGGGAAGGCGGGCCAGCCCCTGTGCAGGCTCCCAGAGCAGGATGGGGAGGAGGGCAAGCCCCTGGGCCATTTCCCAGAGGTCACATCCTGTGGCCCAGGCTTTCCCTCTTTCTTTTTTGCACTTGGACAGACAGCGGGGGAGGGAAAGGGACCCCCACCAGGTGTTGGGATATGCCAGTGAGCAAGGCAGTTCTGCCTCTGGGGCTCGGGGTGAGGTCAGGGGTCCCACATGTAACCCAGGAATGTTGATATAATGTTTTGAGGGCTTTGATAGACAGCAGAGCCTCAAAAGCTCCAGCCTGGGGATGAGAGACCTCCCTAGGGACACCCATTTGTGAAGCAGCTTCCCTGGCTTCTAGGCCTAGAATCCACGAGGAAACCTTGCTTTCAAGGAGTTTCTGCTCCATGTGGCTCCTCCTCTCCACCTCTTTCACTGCTTTCCTTTTGTCTGATTGGCTGTGCCCCCACCTTTCTTTCTGAATCCACCCCATCCCTCCCTGACTCCTGCCAGGCTACGGTGGAATCGTATTCCCAGGAAGCATGGGAAACGCTAGAGACTCAGCAGACCTTCCCTACAGCACCCTGGCTTGGTGTCCACCCCTCTGACATGGATGGCAGGAGGGAGGGACAGCCCCTACCCCGGCCGTGCCTTAGCTCAGCCAGCTTCTCGGCAACTTCATTCCTGAGGCCAGAGCCAATCACCCAGCCATCCTTCCTGGGGGAGGTTGGGCAGGAATTTTCATATATTAAAAATTTGTATTATCTGAGGGGAAGCAGCCAATAAAGAAAAGAAGTGTCTTATCGGAGAATCAGACTTGGCTTTCCCTCAAAAACAAATGGGGTTTCTGAGGAATGGATTTGAGGGGACGCTAAGGCCTGGGAGTTCTATGTCTCCCTTTAACTGGGGGCTCCCTGAGGAAGGGGTGGTGTCCCCAGTTCAGAATGGGGCTGCCTGAGGCCACAGCCATGTCCCTCAGTCTGAGCTGCTTGAGGGTCAGAGCGCTGTCTCTGCCCTGACTGGAGTGTGATGAGCAGACACCCTGCCCCGCCCCTCAGGTCTAAGCAGGCTCTGGGACCCCAGGGCGGTCCAAGGATGCTCAGGGACCAGCGTTCCTTGGCCAAGGCCATCGAGTCCAAGATTCATCTCCCAAACCCTTTCCTTTGCCCACAGGTCCCCCAGAGTCACGTGGGTCTTTGCTTTGGAGACTTCTTGCAAATTCCACAGTCTGGCCCTGGCCCTGGCCCTCTGGCCTGATTAGCTAGGTTCTCCAGTTTGGCAACTCCTCTAGACCTGCTTATTCTGTTTTTCCTTTTTTTTTTTTTTTTTTTTTTTGATGGAGTCTTGCTTTATCACCCAGGCTGGAGTGTAGTGGCGAGGTCTCAGCTGCAACCTCCACCTCCCAGGTTCAAGTGATTCTCCTGCCTCAGCCTCCTGAGTAGCTGGGATTACAGGCATGTGCCACCACGCCTGGCTAATTTTTGTATTTTTATGAGAGACAGGGTTTTGCCACGTAGGCCAGGCTGGTTTTGAACTCCTGACCTCAGGTGATTCACCTGCCTCAGCCTTCCAAAGTGCTGGGATTACATGTATGAGCCACTGCACCTGGCCTAGCCCTGCTTATTCTCAAATTTCCTCCCCATCCCTCCACACAGTGGTTGGTTTCTACCTCTAGCCTTTGCTTATGCCGTCCCCTGGTCCTGAAACATGCTTTCCATCACTGCACTTAGCTGTTTTTATCATCCTTTCTGGCCCAAAACAAAGTCCTCCACCTCCCAGCAGCCTACCCTGACTGCCCTATCCCATGCCGGCCTCTATTCTCTCCTCCCTTCCCGGAGTTCCCCTCAGAGCCATGCACCCATCACTTTATGGGGTCTGACACCTCCTTGCTCAGTCCCATGCAACACATAAGCTGCTGGAGGAGGGGCAGGGGCAGAATGATGGATGAGGCTGCAGTGGCTTTGCTCCCTGCTGGGGCTGTGGTTAGATCTCCCCTCCAAGAAGCCTGATATTTTCCAGGAATTTCCTGAGGGGAGGGGGCCAAGCACTCTGGAATGAGAGCCAGCTGTGAGGTTGAGGCCTGATGGTGGGGAAGGGGGCTCTGGGCTTCCTGGCTGAGTCAGCGGACCATTCCTAGGTAATTTATGGGCTGACTCAGAGCCCTCGGCAGTGGGGCGTGGGGTGGGATTGGGAGAGCTCTCTGGTCTCCAGGCAGTTTATGGAGGGGAGGGCGGGAGGACTGGCTGGAAGTAAGTCTGGCTGAATGCAGCACAGACCCCCTCTCCCCATCAGCCTCCTCGCTGCTTGGAGCCTGTAAAAGCAGCAGCCAAGAGAATGGGAACTGTGGGGGACGAATGAATGCAAGCTGGCAGAAGGGAAGAAGCCTCAGGCAGGCACTGGGGGCTCCTGAAGACAGAGGGGCATGCTGGCAGGGAGGGGCTTGGCCCAGCCTCCAGGCGAATTTGGGGGTAAAGAAAACTGCTTAGTTCTGGCACCTCAGCCTAGGTGGCCCCCTGCTCCCCCGCCCTTTTGTAGCAGGCCTGGCCTGGGCTGAAAAGCAGATCTGGGTTTGAATCTCCCTTCTCCAGGGACCTGTGGGTGACACAGGCTTGGTGCCTTCTCTTTGAGCTTCAAGTTCTCACTTGGACAAGATGGCCTGGCTCCTCCCAGCCCGGATCTGGGGATGCTCCAGTGCAGCCTGGGAGACCAGTCTGATCGTGGCGGCCTGGAAATCAAGGCTAAGCAAAAGCAAACCTGAAAGAGCTGCCCTCTAAGTGCCACAGCAGGACTTGCTTCTGAATGGAGATGGGGCTGGGGCAGGAGGGTGGCAGGGAGGGGCTGAGCCCTGTGACCATCACCTTCAGGTTGGAGGAACACAGGCACACTCACCCACATACACCCAAACACAAGCCACAGAGTCCAAGGAAAAACCTGTTTCTGTCCATGTCATCCAGCACCGAACCAGGGATCCCATGCAAAGATGGGACCTGGCCGGGAGCAGTGGCTCACTCCTGTAATCCCAGCACATTGGGAGGCCAAGATGGAAGGACCACTCGACGTCAGGAGGTCGAGACCAGCCTGTCCAACATGGTGAAACATTTCTCCACTAAAAATACAAAAAGTAACTGGGCACGGTGGTGCATGCCTGTAATCCCAGCTAATCGGGAGGCTGAGGCAAAAGAATCACTTGAACCCAGGAGGCGGAGGTTGCAGTCAGCCGAGATTGCACCACTGCACTCCAGCCTGGGTGACAGAGTGAGACTCCATCTCAAAAAAAAAAAAAGGATGGGTCCTGATAAAGCTCCTAGCAGGATCCCTCCTGCTGACAGAGCACAGCAGGAGCATCCCCATGGGTGATGGGGCCCAGCTTTCCTGTGTCACTCATGAGCCTCTAGAGCAGCATCACATCTGCTGCAGATCATCCCATAGTGGCTTCCAAGCAGGGCGTTGTCACTGAGAGAGGCCCTGGTCTCAGCATCTTCGGAGAAGCCCCAGATTGGTAAGTGTCTTGCTCTGAGTCATGGCTCGGAGTCCCCATGGCAGGGAGGAGTCCCTATCAGCATGGTAGATTTCATAAACTCCAAATGAGGGCATGAGATCTGAAAAAGAATTTGGGGGATTTGTGATAAGATTTGACAGCATACAAATAAGGAACCTTACTTGGTCAGGACTAACCAGCTGCATGTCTTGACAAGAATAGCCGAGATGAAATCAAATGTGGGCGGGAGGGTCCTGAACACACGTGGGGTCACTGGGGTGGCTTGGCCCTGGGCTACCCCCTTCCCCCTCACCACCCAACTCCATCAGAGCCTTCTAGAGGAAGCGTTCTCCCCTCTGGCGGTTTGGTGGGACACGGCCTCGACAGGGGCTGCTGTAATCGTGCAGGTGGGAAGTGACGGAGAAGTGGTGAGAGGTGGGTGGGCTCTGGAAGAAACTGGAATCCTACTGACAGGCTGCCCCGGCAGATGGGAAGTGGGTCAGGAAGGCTTCAGGACGGCACTCCAAGGTTTCGGCCAGAGCGGATGAAGGGGTGGGGTTGCCACTGTATGCGGGAGGGAATGTGTTCTGTTGTATGTTTAATTCACTACTTTGATGTGAAAAGTCCAAATATGACTATGTCTGGAACTGAGCAGGGCATCCGTGGGACCACAGCCCACAGGGGCTTATGGCACCCCCCAACCCCGCCCTAGGAGGCCTCAGAGGCCCCGGTGGAGAAAGAGAGAGGCTCACCCTCCTGCCGTGTTGTGTGTGTAAGAGGCGGGCAGAGTGAAAAGGTTTGGCCCACCTGAGTCCCCTGGGCTGGCAGAAGACCTGGGGCCAGGCAGGGGGAGGTGTTGGAACAGGATGGTGGTGTGTGGGCCTCTGTCTGCACAGACCCACCATAGCCCACAGAGGCTCTTTCTCCTCAGAGTGGGTGTGCATTACCAGAACCTTCTAGAGGAAGTGTTTTCTGAGCTCAGGGCGGCTCTTTGATTCTCCAGGCCACAAACCCCCGCAGGCCCGGCCTGGCCAGAGGCGTGTGTGTGCATCCCGGCAAGTGAGGCCCGGGGACTCACGGCCAGAGAGGCTGTGAGGGTGGCTTTGTGTGGCTGCATGTCACCCTCAGCCAAGTGCCGCTGCCAGGAGAGGCAGCTCAGCTGCCAAACCTCCTGAAGCCAGGTTGCCTGAGGAAGCAGCCCTGTCCCCTCGCCTGCTTCTCACTGCCTCACCCGCCTTGGGCCTGCCTGATCCTGGGGGTCACATGCCTTGTTCCCCATCAGTGGAAACCAGAGATAAGAAGACAAGAATGTGGGAAGAGTCGGGAGACCCATTTGGGAAAATACAGGTTCCAGGTGTTTCTCCAGACCTCGAGAGTCAGTGTCTCCTGGGAGAGGCCCTGGAACTGCCTTTTGACAGAGCTCCCTGGTGATCTGATGAGCTTCGGGGAGACCTGGCCTGTCTGCACTTGAGGAGATGGGACACATAGGACAAGCTGCAGGCGGGTGAGGAGGTATGTCTGCTTCTCCGGGGACAAGTGAACCCTGGATCCCTGAGGATTCTCAAGGGGGCATTTGCAGGGTCTCAGCCTAAATAAAGGCATCAAATCCCAGATGGATGTGTTCAGACAACCAGAGGCCCCGCAGAGGCCACCAGAGCCCCCGAGAGGAGGGGTCGGAGAGAGTCCACTTCCTGCCAGAGGGGCAATGTGGCCACCTCTGGCCACCCAGTCCTTCTTTCTGCCAACCTCAGCCTTATGACGAGGAACCGACGCCTAAAGCTTCCTAAGCAGGGAAGCAGGACTGGGGAGATTGGAGCTGGAGTGGGGTGAGCCTGAGGTAGGGACAGTGGGGTCCCTGTGGCTCCGCAGGGTGAACGCCTGAGCTGGTTGTTCTGGCTCATGGGACCTGCTTCTCCTGCCTGTAAACTCTTCACCCCGATCTGGAGAAGGTGATCACCAAGGGCTAGGACCCGCCCACCCAGAAATACACTAAATAAATAAATGTGCTCTGTCCAGATTTTAACTAATCAGGATTCCAGAGCACAAGACAAATGGCCTCCCGTCTGGCTGGGAGGTGTAATTCATTCTCCTGGGTGAGTCCAAAGCCTGGGGCAGGGTGGGGAGAGGAGGGGCGGGGTGGTTTAGAGTAGCGGAACGTGCACTAAGGTTCTGGGAGGCTCTGAAGCTTAGAGTAGGGGCTCAGCGCCAAGACCTCCAGAACAACCCACCCACCCCAGGGTCTGCTCAGGATGGAAACGAACCCTAGTGTCCTTTCATTCAGGGAGTCTATTTCTGGGACTTATTCTAAGGAATATATACATAAGTGGTCATTCAAAGATTTAGCTACAAAGTTGTCCTTCCCTGTGACTTCTAAGCCTGGAAAACGGGAAGCAACCTACACGTCCAAAAATAGGACATGGGTTAAATACATTGTGAAACATCCAGAAAAACCCACAAAATTGAGCCTTTAAAAATGATGTAGAAGAGCATCTAATGACATGGAAATAAGTTGATAGCCTAATGAGCAGAATAATACAAAGCTGAGAGGTATATAAAATAGTCCGATTTTTAAAGCATTGATTTGTGGAAAGCATTGGAAGGATATACAACAAAACATTGACTAGTTGTGAGCTAAGGGGTAATTTTAGCTTATTTTTCTTTGTTTTTATTTTGGTTTTGTGTATTTGACTTTTTAATTTTTTAATCATAATTTTGCACTTACACACTAGACAAATATTAGGAAAGCTATTATTTTACAAACCAGAATCTCCAAGATTTAGCTTAGGAAGAATTCCTGGCTAGAAGAGACAGCTGGATGAGTCAGCCCTCACTCCCCCTTCCTCTGTGCACCCTCCTCTTTGGGTCAAGTTTCTTCATTCCCACGGCTTCTTTCCGGCTGGCCCCCAGGGATGCCATCACCTTTTCAATTCCGCAGACCAAATATAGCTAGAAACCCAGTCTTCGCTGTAGTTTGAGGCTGAGTTTTGCTGTCACCCAGGCTGGAGTGCAATGGTACGATCTCAGCTCACTGCAATCTCCACCTCCCAGCTTCAAGCAATTCTCATGCCTCAGGCTCCTGGGTAGCTGGGATTATAGGCATGTGCCACCACACCAAACTATTTTTTTGTATTTTTAGTGCACACGGGGCTTTGCTGGCTTGACTAGGCTGGTCTTGAACTTCTGGCCTTGAGTGACCTGCCCACCTCAGCCTCCCAAAGTGCTGGGATTACAGGTTTGAGCCACCACACTAGGCTGAAACCCCGTCTTTGGCTTCTTTTAACAAGCACAGCTAAGAAACCTGGAAGGATTATACTCATACCAGATGGCATTAATAAATCTGAAGGGAAAACAACAGGACTTAAACATGGCAGCCAGAAGAACCATAAACCCAATCCAGCTTCCTGAGGCCGGGTGTCCGGTCCTACCTTAGCCAGGCACCCTCTAGAGGTTCCCAGCTCCTGCCCCATCCTATGTGGAGGTTATGAGAGGCTAGAGACCCCACCAAGTCCTTCATCTCATTGTAACCTTTATCACCTTCTTCTCAGGTTCACGTTCTACTTCGAAAGACCAGTTTCTTCCTCGAGTACCTGATCTTGAAAATGACCTCCGCTTTCAGGTAGGACCCACCATGACATCTGCAGAGTGCTCTCGCCCTTGGTCCAGGCTCCTGATAAAAAATACCCCCGCACAGCCCCAAGCCACAGCACTTATTTCAGGGGACGGGCACCTCCCACACATAAAAGGCCTCTCAGGACCCAGGAAGCTCCAGGCCCGAAGAGCAGAGGCATGGCTTGGCTGCCCCAAAGTCTTCTTCACACACCCCACCACGTTCTGCCCCAAGGAAAACAGAAGTTTTCAGTGAATTATACAGAAGTAATCAATGAATTATTTCCCCATTAAAAAAACACTAACAGCATTACAAATTGTAATATAAATATAGGCTTATTGTAAACATATGAAAAGTCTAGAAAAGTATAAGGAATAAAATGAAAATACTCCATAATAATCACACTAAATGGAGATAACCATTATTTGTATACACATACACCTTTAAATAAAACTGGGATAATATCATGCATATACGCACATACTTATATATAAAATCCTGATCTTCTTCCATATAAATTACATCATAAGAATTTTCTTGGGTCATTAAAATAGGCTTTGAAAAGATGATGTAAAACAGCCACGTAGTATCCCATTGTATGGTGTGCTGGTTACGAAAGCAATCGCTAGTGTTAGGCATGTGAACTGTTTCCACATTGTTCATTATTTCAAATAATAATTTAATAAACAACCTTGCACATACATCTTTGCATACGTCTTTGATTACTTCTTTAGGATAGAGCCCTAGAGTGGGCTTATGAAGTGAAGGGATGTGAACGCCTGCAAAGTTCCTGATGTCTGGGAGCAATGTCCTTTGGACAACCTGTGTTGCCGCAGTCCTCTCTTACCTGCCGGGGACGTGTCCCATGCCCCCCAGTGGGTGTCTGAAATTGCGGTTAGTATTGAACCCTATCTACGCTATGTTTTTTTCCTCTACATACATACCTATGATAAAGTTTGATTTATAAATTAGGCACAGTAAGAGATTAACAACAATAATAAAATAGATCAGTTGTAACAATATGCTGCAGTAAAAGTTATGTGACTGTGGTCTTTTTCCACATGTCTCAAAATGTTACATTGTAGATCCTAGCTACCTGAGCTAAGAGCTGAGATCTAAAATCTTGATATTTTTCCACATAAATTACATCATAAGAATTTTCCTGGGTCATTAAAATCATCTTTGAAAATACAATTTTGTTTGATCTATTTATATATATCTTTTGAGACAGGGTCTCACTTTGTCACCCAGGCTGGAGTGCAGTGGTGCAATCATGGCTCACTGCCTTGACCTCCCAGGCTCAAGGGATCCTCCAGCCTCAGCCCTGCAAGTAGCCGTGACCACAGGTGTGCACCACCACACCTGGCTAATTTTTGTGTTTTCTGTAGAGATGGGGGTTTCTCTGTGTTGACCATGCTGGTCTTGAACTCCTGAGCTCAGGTGATCTGCCCACCTCGACCTCCCAAAGTGTTGGAGTGTAGGTGTGAGCCACAGCGCCCAGCCTGATAGTACAATTTTAAATGGCTGCAAAGTTCTTGGTGTCTGGGAGCATAGTATCTCATTGTCTGGCACAATATACGCTTTTTTCTTTCCTTATTAAGTCAAGAACTTCCGCCTTTTCACTTAAGGGAAGCACGTCACGGCTTGTCTTTGGCATATCCAAATTGCCAGCATGGCTACCTTTGTGCTTAGGCGCCATTACGAGGTAAAATAAGGGCTACTTGAACACAAGCACCGAGATGCCTCAAGAGAAGGCCCCTAAGGGACACACAGGCAGGCAGCAACCAAAGGATATGCTGAAGAGAGGAATGATTCGTGTCCCGGCTGGGACTGCAGGGGCTGGCCTGTCGGTGTAGGAGTCTGGAGGCCGGTAAGGCCAGAATGGAAGCTTGACATCTATTCTCATAAATCTTTAAGGGCAGGGAACCCCACTAAGAAAGCCTGGTCTAGGCCAGAAGGCAGGAGAATGGCAGAGGGCAGCTTCCACAGCTCCAGCACCGGCTCAGGTGTTGATGCCCCAGAGCTGGGTCCCACTGTGCTGGGTGCTGAGAGTCTAGGGCTGACTAGGTCATGACTCTGCTTTGAAGTTTATTTTATAAATCAGGCACAGTAAGAGATGAACAGCAACAATAATAAAATAGATCAAGTATAACAATATGCTGACAATGAACGTTATGTGAGTATAGTCTTTATCTCTATGTCTCAAAATAGTGTGGATCCTAGCTTCTAAGTTTAATTTGTAAATTAGGCACACAATCCCATGGGGTCGACAGATGGACACCGTTAACAAGCATATGGCATGACAGACAGGGGAGGCTTCCTGGAGGAGGTGATGTTTGAGTGGGGCATTGAGAGATGAACAGGTGAACTGGATTTCAACAGTCAGGGAAGGTGGGAAATGCACTTCCGATATTAATACCTGTTTGCTGAGGAGAGCGTAAGTGGCCCATGGCTATTAGGGTGTGGACCCATGGCCTTGATTTAGGATTATCACTAGGAAGTAGAGAAAGCAGAGAGTGAGAGGAGAAGAGGGTTCAGAAGAGGACCCTGGGCCACACGGCCATGTGGAAGGTGGGGTGAGAGGTGGGACTGGAAGGTGCTGGAAAGGGGCTGAGGAGGAGCATGGAGCCCCAAGGAACACCCGCAGAGTGGGCCACTACAGGATTTAACAATGAGCAATGGGGAAAACATCATGTTGGCAGGAGGCCAAGAGAGACAGGACCCAGGCCTGGCAAGAATTTGGTCCTGGGAGACCCTGGCAGGGGCCGGTTGGTAATGTGGGTAGGATAGAGGTCAGGGGCATTTGGTTCCTGTGGCTGTTGTGGTAACAAACCACGGCAAACTGAGGGGCTTAAACAACACACGTGTATTCTCACAGTTCTGGAGGCCAGAAGCCCTAGATCAGCCTCGCTGGGCTAGTGTCAAGGTGTCGGCAGGGTGGCGTCCCTCTGGGCCCAGGAGAGAAGCCATTTTCTTGCCTTTTCTGGCTTCTAGTGGCGCCTCAATTTCTCAGCTTGCGGCTCCTTCCTCCATCTCCCAAGAGCATCACTCCAATCTGCTCCTTCATCAGCTCACCCTCTTCTCTGACTCCTGCATCCCTTTCAGAGGACTCTTGTGGTTCCATGAGGGTCCACCCAGATCACCCAGGATAATGTCCCCACCTCCAGGGCCTTAATCTAACCACAGGTGGAAGCCCTGTATGAGGAGGCATGGACAGACTCTGGGCCTTAAGACATGAACATCTGTGGGGACATCATTCAGACTTCCATGGTGGTGGGAGGTGGAGGAGGAGGAAACGGGAGAGTGAGGACTCACCAGGAGACTTGCACGAGAAAGGAGAGAGGGACTGGCTGGGCTCAGCTGGAAGACGTTCTGCCTGGAGGGAACTGGCTTTCAGGAGTTTTCTCCTGCGCCTGTTGTGTCTCCTTCCCTCCTTTCTCCCAAAAATCCAATTAGGAAACTGGAAACATCTGTTGTGTTGACTCCTCAGGTCTCGCTTCCCCTCACCCCGGACACCCACTTGCCCAAGGGTCTTCCAAGCTGGCTGAGTTGGTACCTACATTTTTTAACCACAAGGAAAGGAAGCCCAGAGCTACCAAGAATAATATTTTATTGACTTGGAACGAGTTTTGGAATCTGTATTTTTAACAAGCTGCCCAGGTGATTTTGATGATCAGACAGTTAGAGGTGTTTTTTTTTTTTTTTGTTTTGTTTTTCCTTTTCCTTTCTCTTCCCTCCAGTAAACTGTTTTTCAACTTTGTTTTTCAGTGGAAACCATTTCCTCCTCGTCATGGCACAGGTCCAGAGCTGCGCCCATCTCTCCCACGTCAACAGTCCTGTGTCCTTGGCGGAGGACGGTTCTCTCATTCAGTGCCCTCCTCTCTTCCTCGGCCAAATCCCTGCTCTGCACCTCCCTGCAGCTCATAAAAAGCCGAATTACCTGAGGTGGGAAAGCCTCACCCGCCGTCATTCTCAGGGAGGAGTGGACTCTGCAGAGGCCGCGCTTGCCCCAGTGCACAGCTTCCTTTCACCTCCTCTCTCATTTTCCCAGACAGCTCTGTTTCAGTGTTCCAGGCCCGGGGCTGTCCCTGGGCCGAGGTGGAATCCACCCCGACCACCTCCCAAAGCCAAGAGCCCTGGGTGAGCATGCAGAGAAGCAAGAGCTGTTCCTGATGCAAAGCAGGCACCCCCACCCCCACCACCCCCGGTCGGGGGATGAACTGATTTGGGACAAAAGGCAGTCATTGGCTGAGGAAGGCAGCATCTGGGGGAGCCCTGTGCTGAGTGGAGGTGGGTGGGTGTATTTCCTTGGCTCGCAGAGGCCTCTTGTCTGGTGGGATCAGCTCCTCTAGCCAGTTGCCACCTGGTCCAGCTTTGGGAGATGTGGAGAATGAATTTCACAGTGATTTCCACTGGGCCATGGCACTGGAACAGCTGCAGGAGGGGACACAGCTGGTGCCACCCCCACTCCATCCATTAGAGCTGCTGTGAAGGAATGCCACCCTCCCCATGGGGAGTGAGGGACGCTACTTGCTGTGGTTGGTTCCAGGGACCATGGGAAGAGGGGAACCCCTATTTTCAAGGGTACAGGTTGACTTTTATTAAAATAGAATTTCATCATCATTTCTTCCAGTGGCTCCCAAACTTGGCTAAACATCAGGATCACCTGGGATGCTTATTAAAAAATAAGGATTACGGCCAGGTGCAGTGGCTCACGCCTGGAATCCCAGCACTTTGAGAGGCTCAGGCAGGCAGATCACTTGAGGTCAGGAGTTCAAGAACAGCCTGCCCAACATGGTGAAACCCCATCTCTACTAAAAATACAAAAATTTGCCAGGCACAGTGGTGCACAACTGTAATCTCAGCTACTTGGGAGGCAGAGGCAGGAGAATCACTTGAACCTAAGAGGTGGTGGTTGCAGTGAGCTGAGATAGTGCCACTGCACTCCAGCCTGGGTGACAGAGTGAGACTCTGTCTCAGAAAAAAAAAAAGATTAATAAAAACAAAGAGTTTTAGAACCCATCCCAGACCAAATCAATCAGAATCTCTTTGGGTAGGCTTGGGCTGGAATCAGTGTGAATCCGTTTAATCAGATCGCTTTCCTGATTCCAGAAGGGTGATCCCATAGAACAGGAGTGAGAAGATGGAAGGGTGGGGGGCTGGAACGACGAAAGCTTGTGCTTGCACCACTATTCATCTGAGAGCGCCGGGGGCCAGCTGCGGAACTACAGACTCCTCATACATCATCGTCTGGAGTCTTCAAAACAAACCTATGAGGTGTGCCCAATTTTTTCCATTTTGCCGGTGAGAAAATGGGAGCGCAACGTGGCCACACACACAGCTAATAAGAGGCAGAGCCAGGACTCAGGTCCAGATCTTTCTCTTGACTCCTCTGCCGTGGAAGGGATCATGAGAAAGCCTGGCCCCACCTCTGGAGTCAGGTCAGCACATGACCCAACTGTCATACTGGCACAAGCTGCCTTCTGGACACTTCCCTGGTGGGCTCTGTCTGTCTCAGGGCTTCAGCTACTCCCTGCTCACTCCGCTCACATCAGTCACTGGGTAGCTGGGGACACAGAGGTGGTTGAGACGTGGCCATCATCAAGGCAGGGGGTTCATGGAAAGGGCATGGGCTGGAACCAGAAGAGAGGGCTTCTGGTCTCTGGGGGTCCATCCACCCTTAAAAAGCAGAATCTGATCACTGACTGCCTGGCACCCCCACTCCAGCACGTAGCCTTGCTGACACCTCTGCCCTGCAAGGTTGATGGGCTGTGGCTTCTTGCCTCTTTGGCTCCTTCCAGCACCCAGGAGTCTCTGGTATATAGTAGGTACTCAGTGGGGCGACTCGTCAGGGATAATCAGCAATTATGTGTTAAGCACCTATTGATAGCCCCAGGCACTGGACTAAAATACTAGGAATTCAGAGAGGGCCCTATCTCCATAAGTTTGTAGCCTCCTAGGGGAGAAAGTTGGAAAACTCCATGAATCAATTATAATTGTGGTCAGTGCTAGGAAGAAAAATAATAGGATGGTTTAAGAATGTGGTTGGGAGGAGTTCTAATTTAGATGGAGGCATTAGAAACATGGAACCTGAGACCTGAAGGATGAACAAGAGCCATATGGAAACTGGAGATGAGGTAGGAGTGGGGACAGCGCTTCTTGTGATGAGAGCAGCAGGTGCAAAGGCCCTGCAGTGGGGGGCGGGGGGACGGACGCCAGGGACCCCACCGAGGGCCAGTGGGGCTGCAGGGAATGAGCAAGCAGGAGGGGATCAGGAGCAGCAGCTCACATTCAAGATGGCCAAGGTCAGACCATCAGGGTCTTGGGTTTGTTTTTGTTTTTCTGAGTGTGATTTTGGCTCACTGCAACTTCCACCTCCTGGGTTCAAGCCTCAGCCTTCCAGGTAGCTGGGATTATAGGTACCTGCCACCATGCCCGGCTAATTTTTATATTTTTAATAGAGGCAGGGTTTCTCCATGTTGGCCAGGCTGGTCTCGAACTCCTGACCTCAACTTATCCACCCACCTCAGCCTCCCAAAGTGGTGAGATTACAGGCGTGAGCCACCGTGCCCTGCCGGCCATCAGAGTTTTGTAGCAAGAATTTTGACCTTTGTCCTTAGGGCAATGGGAAATCCTTGAAATGCTGTTATTGCCTTCCTCTGCAAGGAAAGGTTATTTTGGTAGGCAGTGGATAGAGGAAATGCAGAGGGAGCCACGAAAGGGGGTTCTGGTAAGATCTGGAGCCCTCCTGGGATAATCCGACCAGAGAAAGCAAGGATTCCAGAGAGCTAGGTACACTTGCCCAGCCTCCAGCTGCACACCGCTGGTTCCAGGTGTGTCCTGACCTGTGGTCTGGCATACAGGGTAGACCCAGTGGTACCTCGTACCTCACTCTGGGGCGAGGAGACCACCCACCTAGGTCTGGGCCCTGCAGCAGCTTGGCAGCAGCATCTGAGTGTTAAGAGAAGGCAAACTGACCTGCTCCCAGCGGCAAGAAGCTTCGATTCTTCACTATCATAAAGTCTTCCCTCCTGTCTTGGGTCCTCCTGTTTGTTGCTGGAGAGGTGAGGCAGGGAGGGCATCCTCTGGGAGGGCAGGCTTAGCAGAGCCCAGCACCATCTCAGCGGACATGGCCCTTCTACTCTCAGCGCCTCCAAGCCAGTGAGTGGATTTCTCTTGTCTAGAGGATATAATCTGTTCCTCACCTGGACACAACGAACCTGTCTGTGGGATTCAGGGAGCATCAGGGAGGGAATTTAGTTTTTGCAGACTTCAGGGAAGACTTCCTGGAGGAGGTGATGCCTGAGAGCTATCCAAGAGAGAAGAGTGAAAAAATATTAAGCAGTGGGAAAAGCATGGACCAAACTGTGGCTGCATCTTCCCATAAGTATGTGCAGGTTGACTCAGCATTTTAGTGTTTCTGGGCATAAAGCACTGTACCATCTGCCCCAGGAAGCCCTCCTGCCATAGAAGCAGCCTCACATGGCTTCCAAAGGACTCCTAGGCACTTCAGGGACCAGTGCCTCACACACTGCTGGGGTGGCTTGAGCTCTTGGGATTAAAGCCAATGTGGATTATTGTCAGGAGTGTTTCATAGCCCTGCCTCTCTCATTCAGAGATTTCCACTCCCTACCCAGCATCCTTGAGTAGGGTCTGGGATTCTTCTCCCCACCTCACAGGTGGGCAGAGGAGGACTCTGCCTTAGGGACGGTTGTAATTAAGATCCTAAACTAAGTTGCACAGATAGAGGAAGCTCCTTCCGCTCGGCCTGCAAGCTGAGGGCCCCGGGTCAGGGCATCAGACTCCTGGTGCTGCCTGCAGAGTAGACAGGGCCTCCTTCTGATGAGACCCAGGACTCCACACTGAGGAGAGAGAGGAGGGGCTGTGCCCATTTGATCGGACGTCCCATAAGGCAAGAGACTTTTGCTTTAACATCAGGGCTGGAAGAGGCCCAGGGAGACTGTCCCTTGAAGCTGTGGGTGACAAATTGAGGCCCTGAGAGGGACACTTGCTATGGGAGGATGAACAATGGCCCCAAACGTGTTCACATTCTTATCCCCAGAGTCTTCGAATATGTTACCTTAACATGGCAACAGAGGGCTGGACGCAGTGGCTTATGCCTGTAATCCCAGCACTTTGGGAGGCTGAGGAGGACTGATCACAATGTCAGGAGTTCGAGACCATCCTGGCCAACGTGAAACCCCGTCTCTACTAAAAATACAAGAATTAGCTGGATGTGGTGGCATGTGCCTGTAATCCCAGCTACTCGAGAGGCTGAGGCAGGAGAATTGCTTGAACCCAGGAGGTGGAGGCTGCAGTGAGCTGAGATCGCGCCATTGCACTCTGGCCTAGGCAACAAGAGTGAAACTGTCTCAAAAACAAAACAAAACAAACAAAAACAACCCAGAGCAAAACAAAACATGGCAGCGGGGACTCAGCGGATGCAACGAAGAGTCTCAAGATGGGGATAACCCAGGTGTGCCCAATCTAATCTCAGTGTCCTTGGAAGAGGGGTGCAGAAGGAGTCAGAATCAGAGAAGAAGGGGACAGCGTGAAGGAAGGAGAAATGAGAGTGATGCTCTTTGAAGATGGAGGAAGAAGCCCCAGCTGAGAAACAGAGGTGGCCACTGGCCACTGAAAAGGTGAGAAAACAGCTTCTCCCCTGGAACCTCCAGAAGGAAGCGGCCCTGCGCACACCTTGACATCAGCACAGTGAGACTGCTTTTGGGCTGCTGGCCTCCAGAATTGTAAGAGAATAAATGCGTGTTGTTTAAGGCCCTTGGTCGTTAGTGATTTGGTATGGCAGCCGCAGGAACCTAATATACTTGAGACGCAGAATCAGCCTGAAGCCAAGGCAGCTCCGGGACCCTGTAGGCCTCAGCTCTACGGAATCCTGTCCTATGCAGGATGGGTCTGTGCTAGAGGCGGAGGTGAGGCCCTGAAGAGGCCCACACCCCAGGGCCTCCAGAGTGTGTGCGTGAGTGTGCAGGGGTGCGTGTGTGAGAAGGGAAGGAACTTGTCTTCTTCGTGCATCGGGGATTTTCTAGGCAGACAGTCCTCCAAAGTCATGTCAACATTTTTCTCTCCAGGAAAAAATAACTCAGTCTATCAGAAACGTCAGAGTTTCACATGCATACCCGTAGACAGACTTGTAGCGAAAAATAAGCTGCACCCTGGCCCCAGGCATCTTTCATTTTCACCGGGCGGGGAGCTAGGCAGGGGAACTGTGGACACATTGTGCCATCTGGGCTTCCCCAGAGCTCCAGGAGTCCTGTGGCAGGAGTGCCCCTGCCCCCACCCCACCCTGCAGCGCTTCCCACTTCCATGAAATTTCTGGGAAGACTTGACACATTTCTTAGCAGCTGAGAGCTGTTGGAATTTCCAGCCTAATCCCAGATGTGGGGCTGACCGTGATGGGAGTTTGGCCTTGTAAGACATCTGGAGGGCTGACCCAGCTGGGCTAACGTCTGTGGTCCTCCTCACTCTGGGTCCTGCCGTTGGACCTTCCATGGTGAGCCAGAGAGAGCCCATGCACGTGGTTTTCACATGAGTGGAGAGGGCTGCGGGGCCTGAAGCCCACAAGCTGGAGCCTCACAGTCAGGAAGAGGCAGACGGCCTCTGGGGTCGGGAATGGGGGGCCCTGGCAGAACAGGAACCTGGAGGGTAAAGGGGACTGAGGGAGAGCCAGAGAGGAGCACTCTGGGAGAGGGGACACAGGCCTGAGGGCTGGCAGGGGCTGGATGTGGAGCCGGTTGGGCGGGGATGAGGGAGGCTTAGGGGCCCAAGGGCTTGAGGGCTCTGTGTGAGCTGGGGTGATAGCTGGTACCTGGCTACAGGCTGCTGGGAGGGTGGAAGCAGGGACGATGACCCTTTACCCAGATACTCAGGAGGCTGAGGCAGGAGAATCACTTAAACCTGGGAGGTGGAGGCTGCGGTGAGCCAAGATTGCACCACTGCACTCCAGCCTGGGCAACAGAGAAAGACTCTGTCTCAAAAAACAAAACAAAACAAACAAAACACAACTAAAAATAAAACAAAACATAGCAACAGGGACTTACCAATTGCAATTAAGGATCTTGAGATGGGGATAACCCAGGTGTGGGTGCCCTGGTTGCTGGTGGCAAGAGCTGCTCCCTCCAGGGCTAGTATGGTGGGAGGCAGGTAGAGAGCTGCAGTAGAGAACCCCTGCCCATGGCTGGCTCACCCATGGGTGAAGAAAGGCAGTGGCCATGAGGAAGAGCCCAGGGGAAAGCCCATCAGGGCCAGCGGGCTCCTCAGCAGGAACTCAGGTCCCCAATGGGTGAAACCACGGGGGAAAGAGGAATGTCACTCCCTTTTGCCAGCTTGTCTGTGGTTGCCTCTTTGTTAGAATAATGGTCCCCTGAAGATGTCCACATCCTAATCCCTAGGAACTGTGAATGTCACCTCAAACGCAAAGGGACCTCACAGATGTGATTATGTTAAGGGTCTTGAAATGGGGGGATTATCCTGGATTATCTGGGAAGGCCTAGTGTCATCACAAGGGTCCACATAAGAGCGAGGCAAGAAGGTCAAAGGCAGCAGAAAAGTGCCAGCAGACAGAAGGAAGACTTGAAGATATCACATGCAGCTGACTTTGTGTTTTTGTTTTTGTTTTGAAACAAGGTCTCACTCTGTTGCCAAGGCTGGAGTGCAGTGGCCTGATCTCAGCTCACTGCAACCTCTGCCTCCTGGGCTCACGTGATCCTCCCACTTCAGCATCCTGAGTAGCTGGAACTACAGGCATGCACTACCATGCCCAGCTGATTTTTAAATGTTTGGTAGAGATGGGCTCTCACTATATTGCCCAGGCTCAGCTGACTTTGAAGATAGAGGCAGGGGCCCCAAGCCAAGGAATGCAGGTGGCCTCTAGAAGTGGGAAAGGCAAGGAAATGGATTCTCCCTTAGATCCTCCAGAAGGAAAGCAGCCCTGTCAACACCTCGTTTTTAGCCCAAAGATGCTGATTTTGGCCTTCTGGCCTCCAGAACTGTGTAATAGTAAATTTGCATTGCTTTAAGCAGCTAAGTTGGTGGCAATTTGTTACAGCAGCAATGGGAAGTAAGCATAGCTTCCCAACACGTGGTAGGCTCCAGACTCTGCCCTACTCTCTGTGGCAAGGATTTTCAGCATGACATGGTTAGAGGGCTCCCTTCTGCCTACCCCCCAGCAGTGGCTGAGCTGCAGTGCAGGGCCTCAGGCCAGAAGCAGAGCTAGGCCTTTCCCCTGTGCTTTCCCTTGTGGCTCTGGCTTTCTTCGTCCATGGGTGAGCCAGCCACAAGCATGCGGTTCCTCCACTCCAGCTCTCTACCTGCCCCCAACCATACTCCAGCTCCACTCGCCCCTGCAACAATGGGAATCATGTTTACCAGCTACATGAAGAGAGACATAGAGCTTTGGAAGCCCTTGCTCCTGGGAACTGGGTGTCAGCAACACCTGCTGTAAATGAGGTTTTAACAAACAAATTCAGGGGCTGTGCTGAGGGAGGGGCAGGAGGTGGCCAGGTTGGGTCAGTGTATGTGGACATGGAACAGTCCCTGCCTCCTGGAATGTTGAGATGTCAAATCATCCCCTTCCCCAGGTCACTTATTTTTCTCCTCTCTCCTTACAAGCCCAAGCATAGACACCTAAGTGCAAATCATGCAGGACTTGTGTGTACACAGATATACACAGGGTCACAAGCAGTGCCAACATGTGCAAAGAGGACATGGGCAAACACACATGCACAGACACCACCCAGCACACTTACAAACATGCCTGCACCCACAGACACCTCCACACCCACAAACACAGATACACCCACTTCCCACACTTACACACCCCACATGGATGCACATAAATATAGACTCACCTATGCAGGAGTCAAGACCAACCATGCATGTGGACCCCTGGACACCTGTGAGTGGGCGGGAGGCCCAGGGCACCCTTCCCTTCCCTCCCCCCACTCCAAGCCCTCTGCTCCCTGCTCTGGAGACCTCTGCTGGTGAGGCCAGGAACGGATGACCAGCCCCTCCTTGGCCCTGGAGCTAAGCCTCACTGGACTAGGGTTTGGAAGGAGGGGAGATGGGCAAAGAGGGACCAGCCAGGGCCAGCTCCCAGGCTTGCAGTACTGCTGCCTTCACTTGGCCCACAGGACTTTCTTCACTCTCCAGTCCAGCACCAAAGAAGAAATTTCTCCTGCAAAGATCTCTTTTGGGCTTTTTGCTGACCCCAGCCAACCCTGTCCGATCAGTGGACACTTCTAGTGTGTCTGCTGCAGAGGAGGGGGTCTCCCTCTACAGAACAAGGCTCCTTCACTTTCCTACCCTCTGGGAGCCCATGCTGGCTCCCCACACTCCCCACACCCCACCAGGGCTGTTTTGTGGCACTCCTGGGCAGGCAGTCTTCCTCCCTGCCTCCCACCGGATATCTGACTGGGCTCATAGCTCCCTGTTCGAACCTCCATCCCCCATGACCCCTAATAGGTCCTACCCTCCTGCTCTCAAGGGCTTTTTCTTTCCATTTTGTCCTGAAGGATGGGGAGGAAGTGAAGATCCTCGGAATAAGGCAGATGAAGCTGAATTCAGATCTCAGCTCCAAGGTGGGATTGGCAGCTCTCAGCAGCACTCAGCTGCTCTTGATCCTGGTCAGCCAAGCTAACTGCCCTCAGCCTTAGTTGCACCAGGTGGAATGGAGCTCATGATCGTGGCCTGGCAGGGAAATGAAATGAGATAACATGCTCGGAGCCCAGCACCCAGCTTCCCAGGGTGCCACATTTATAAGGCACTCCAACACCCCGGAAGTAAAAGGAGACCCTGAAAACCACACCTGCAGCTCCTCTCAGGGGCAGTTGCATGTTCTGTTTTTGTTGTTGTTGTTTGTTTGTTTGAGACGGAGTCTTGCTCTGTCACCCAGGCTGGAGTGCAGTGGTGCAATCTCGGCTCACTGTAACCTCCACCTCCTGGGTTCAGGCGATTCTCCTGCCTCAGCCTCCAAAGTAGCTAGGACAACAGGCACGTGCCACCATACCCAGCTAATTTTTGTATTTTTAGTAGAGACAGGGTTTCACCATGTTGGCCAGAATGGTCTCCATCTGTTGACATGATCTGTCGTCCTCGGCCTCCCAAAGTGCTGGGATTACAGGTGTGAGCCACCGCGCCCAGCTTCATGTTCTGTTTTAATGAGTGATTTGCAATAGGGTCGTAGGGGTACCCCCAAAAGAGCAGGCTAGTATAACAGCAGTCTCCAGGGAAGGTAGGGAGGGTCTCTGCAGAGTTTTTGCTTGTCTAATTAGGGTGAGAGCTGAGCCACTCAGAGGAGATGGAGTTTTGCTAACAGAGGCCCTCTCCTCTGTCTACTCCGGCATCCCTCCAAGCAGAGGTCGGTTTCTGCTACATTAAAGAATATGGCTTTGTTCGAAAATGATTCTCCTGCCTGGAGTATCTCTGTGTCTCCACTGGGCCCTTGTTGTCAGGTAGAAGTCAGCTGGGTCTCTCTCCAGTCTTGGCCCTAAAACGCTCTCCAGATCCTCCACTTAACTCGGCGCTCCTCACATCCTCTCTGCCTAGTTTCTGTGCTCACATCCTCCCTTAACTCGATACTCCACACCTCCTTCCCCCAACCTTAGGCCACTGGCACAACCCATTTTGAAAGCCTCAAGGATCAGGATTTCCATGTTGAGGAAATCAGCTAGTTCTCATATGCAAGCCTGTTTGAAACTGCAGCAGGAACAACAAGCAGCCACCATCCTGCCCAGAAAGCATCTCATGATCTTTC